ATGTGTGCTTTCCTGGATGGGCAGAATTCTATTTTATTTTATTTAAAGAAAGACTAAAGAAAACAGAAACCAGGTAGAAATAATACTTACTTTCAAAGAAAAAATAAAGAACAGTAAGAAATTACTAGTTGATGTTTACATACTGTCCTCTTACAAATAGTTGTTCAAGATACAAAAGTGGAACATATAAAGTGGGGATTCAAACAGCAAGACTGGAAACAGTTCTGTTCAACTACCCAACAAAAACTTAGTAATATGGTTATCAATCCTATATACTTAAGCACACATGCAGTTATTCGTATCTTCATTTATGTTGAAATTAAACAACCAAAGCAGGCTAAAATCACTCTGAACAAAGAAAAGTAGCATTGCTGGATTTCACATCATGACACTCCAGAATCAGCACTGAGTACTGTAGTGTCTATTTTTCTTCAAAGTATTTGTTCATTTCATCATGTATCATAAGATCAGTTCTTGTAAACTGTTTATAGGTTCTACATATGCATGAGTCTTAACATGTATTTCTATCCTTTCTATATTAGAGGAAGAAACAAAACAAAGCAGGACAAATTCCTATAAACACATGAAACAAAAAAGACATATAAAACTGCCATATAAGGAGTTCTACCATGGTTGCTGTGTTGTCTCTTGCAATAAAAACACAATTTTGTGGATAATGTAAAACTACAAAAACAGATAGTAATCAAACCAGAATGGATATTGTAGTGAATCTTGTCATCTTCAGTGTAGTTGCCTGTACTCTCTTGATACTATCAATCATAACAGTTTTGAATAAAATCTGTCCATACCAAATAGCAATCAAATAAACCAGATTTAGCTAAAATCAGTCATGATAAAACAGTATAAGTTATACAGGGCTCCAGATAAAGTTAATAGGAAATTAAAGATGATTACTGCACTATATCCTGTTATTTTTCAGATAGATGTCTGTGCCCTCAGATCTAGTGCAAATAGATCAACAGAAAAAAAAATCTATCTAAGCAGAGCTGTGTGAGTCATATGGGTTTTAATTCCTGATACACTATTAACAGTTTCTTCTGAAGTCTTTTTAAAGACTATTCCTCCCCTTTACTTCCCCCAGAAGTTATGCACTGTGCATTTTTGGGTCTCACCAACACCCTCTGTTTTAAATTGGGAGGGGGGACAACCTGCTATTTACCTAAATGGTTCTGAACCTTCTCACTCCTGGACTTGATCTCTAGTTGGATTCCTTTACCTATTAAAGCCTGTCTTTCCAACCTATCCACAGATACTGGTCTAGTTGCCCCTATTACTCTCTGGTTCTCGGTCACATAGAGAATTGTTTTCTCATATTTGATTTTTGGTCCATATACGCTTTTTCAGGTTAATTATATTTCCTATAAAGAGCATCTCGGTGGCCCCTACCTCCTAATCTACTCTGCCTGTAATTCTCTTTTTTTTTATTTAGTGTATCAAGGCCATCTATATTAGAGATTGTAGCCAACCTTCTCTGCTTCATTTCTGTTGTGCTCTTTTTCTGCCATAATTTGTCTGCTTGTCTTCATTCTGCTTTCTGCTCCATTCATTGAGACCTCTCTGCCAGTTCCTGGAATCCTGGTACTTTTCTCTCTCTCTAGAATGTCCTGCAGTATTCTCTGTAGAGTCAGATTGGTGGTCATGAATTCCCCCAGTTCCTCTTTGTCTTGGAAGTATCTTGTTTCTCCATTAATTTTGAGAGATGGTTTTTCAGGGTACATCAATCTGGGCTGGAAGTTATTTTTCTTTCAGGGCTTGGAATACTTCTATCCAAGCTCTTCTTTATTTGATGGTCTGTGTCAAGAAATCTGCTGTGATTTTGATGGGTTTTCCTTTAAAGGTAATCTGTTTCTTGTCTCTGACAGCTTTAATATTCTATTCTTACATTGAGTTTTTGGGATCTTGAATATTATATGCCTGGGTGTAGCTCTGGTTTGGTTGTAGGTGGCTGGAGTTCTGCATGCCTCATACATCTGAATGTCATTTCCTTTTCCTATGTTTGGGAAGTTTTCCTTAATTATTTCTGTGAGTAACCTTTGTAGTTCCTTTGTTTGTATCCCAGCTTCTTCATTTACATTCTTTATTCTTAAGTTATAGATACTCCTGTCATCTTCTAGCCTTTGTATTGTTACTGCTTGTTTCCTTGTTGTTTGAAAGAAATTTTCCCTTTCATGATCCCACATTGCAAACCTGTCCTCCAGTTTGGATAATCTATCCTTAGTTTTCAAGCAGTTTTGTCAGCTTTCAATGGAGCTTTTAATTTTCTGGTAATCTCTTTGAACCTGGTTCACGTATTTTATGTTTTCTTTATATTCTTCAATGGATGATTCTCTCCTTTTTTTGTGTGTTCCTCCATTCTTCTGTCTATGTCTTTTTTGAGAAGTGCTTGACATTTCTTTTATTAATTTATTTATATCTTGCTTTACTTGCTTAAATATTTCACTTTTGAACTTGTCTATGAGGTCCCAAAGATATCTCTTTATGTCCACTGATGCTGTATCTGATATTGCATGTTTGCTGTCCTCAATCTCTTTTGTATTTACCTTTCCTGGATCAATGTTCTCAGGGTTGGGGGATGGGGACTTTTTCTTGTTGCTTGCTCTTCTCATATTTTTTGTTTCTTCCATACAGGCATATAGAGGAGGCCCCAGTCTCTTTCTTTGTTGGTTATGGTTCTTCTGAAGCATGCTAGCTAGGGTGATTCTGCCCACTCCAGTGTATTATTGAGGTGCAAACAGGGGTGGCGTATGCTGGCCTTTCTCCTCTGGGTCAGTCAACCTGCTGAGGCCTTCACTGTGTTAGTGTGCACCACATGTAGGGATTTGGTTTGGGACAACATATTGGGTTTCAGCCAGGGGCATGACCCAAGGCAAGCACACCCCACCAATCCCACCTGGGAAGGTAACAATTGACTGAAGTCAGTGCTCTTCATTGCTCTTGCTAGACCTGCCCAGTTCCAAGATGTCATCCCATTGGAGCAACACCCTTTTGCATGGAAGGGTTTTATTCCTTGCACTCACTGTAGGTCAATGCAGGTCCCCCTCCAACTCAGCTGTCTGCTGGGCCCACCGACCTCTGACCTCAGTACGACAGTTCCAGTGAGTTGAAGAGGTGGGAATTCGGGCAGCTGGATAAGTCACAGCCACACAAGTTCGGGCACTGCTGCAGGAGCACCGAACCTTTAGCTGTTCCAACAGTAGCAACAGGACTGCATGTTTGACTGGTTCTTCTCAGCTTAGTTTCTTTCTGGGTCAAAAGGATCCATCTCCCTCTGTCCAGGACTCCCCACGTTGTGTTATTTCAGCATCTAAGTTGACTATTTTAGGGAGCCTCTGTAATCTGCTCTTATCTATCTGCCATCTTTACTGGAACTTCCTAGAATGAGTTCTTGAGCCTGTTCTGTTGTTGTCATGTGAATTTCTTGAGGATATGAGTGAGGAGAGCCCTAGCTGTAGGATCTGATGTAGGACTTCTACCACTGACTCTGCAGTTCACAGGGTGTGTAATCCCAGACAAGCTAGTTGTATGTTAAAGGTGTGGAGAAAGAGAGAGACCTGTGGGAAAGCTCTGTATAAGCAATCATGGTTGTTTATTTGCTCCTATGGGAGCAGGCTAAATTTGGAGAGCAGATGGATGGGCAGAGTTCTGACATCTCATCTGACTCAGAGATGGGGTATACATTTTTTATCTAAAATGACTTCCCTGTCTTCAGTGTTAATAAACATTCATTTTCTGAGGGTATAACTTAAAGGTTCTTAGTTGTTGAGTAGGAAGAAAAAGTTGGGGCAATTTAGAGTTTCTTTCTAACCTTACATGCCTTTAAAAAAAAAGAAGGAAATTACCATGTGGCAGAAAAAGATCAGAAATAAGAAAGTCTTTTCTACTCATGCTTATGGTGAGTTATTGAAACAACTTGGCCATGAATCATTACTTCCAGCCTGGAAAGGGAAGAATGGGAAATCTCAAGAACTAAAATTGCCTCCTCACCAGTAGAAGATCAGACCTGAAAGGAAACTGAGGCAGAACAAGTCTAACATTTTCCACAGAGTGCAAAGGAGGATCAGGTCCAGTCTGCCTCAGTGAAATCTGTCCTCTAAGTCTTAAGAACATGTCTTGGAACTAAGCATGGTGGCACTTTCCTGTAATCCGAGTACTCAGAGGGCTGAGGCAGAAGGATTACCATGAGCTCTAGGCCAGCTTGGAGTATGTAGAGGGTTCAGAGCCAGCCTGAAATGCAAAGTGAGACTTTGCCTCAAAAAAAATGCCTTGAGGTGGGAAAAAATGCAATTATATATTTTACATATTTAAGTTAGAAATGCCTTCACATTTTATAAGAACATATACCAATAAAAGTATGACACTAAATGATAGCCTATAGGGCTTAGAATTAGGAGGCAGGAGCAACGGGTGGGAATTTCAGAAAATAAAAATATCATAACAATAAAGCACCCCAACTCTTCAGCCTCTCAACCTTTCATCTATAGCTATCCAAGTCCTTTTCTAGATGTCTTCTTCTCCCTGTTTGAATGATTTCTCCCCTACTGTTCCCTTTTTTCTAAGACACCTACACCAATTTCTCTTTTCATCCATTTTATGCACATCATTCTCTGGTTTAAAGGTTGTTGCCCCAACCTTTAAATAAATCCTAATCCTTTGCACACACTCATTGCCATTCTCCTGCTGAGAAAAGCTCAGCTGTGGGGCCCTGATGGAATAAAGGCTAACAAACCTAGTCCAAGTGCCCTTTGCCTTGCTATACACCTCCCTTCCCATCCTCCCTCCTGACTCTCTCTCCCACCTTCCTCCCCTCTCTCTGCTTCCTTTCCTCCTCTCTTATTTGCTCACTGCTTATCTTCCTCTCTCTCTTTTTGCCTCACTCTGCTTCTCTTCCTGCTTGAGGCACTGTTGCAAGAAATAGCAAACTCAGGTGGGGGGTTGCCAGGGGTCATTGGCTGTCACCAGCCCAGAACTCCCTTTCTAGAGCCTCCTCCCCTGCCTAATCTCAAAGTCCAGCCAGTCAGTGAGCATTTGGAGCCCATTCTCTCACTGATCTGCTTCCATAGAAGTTCCTTTCCTACCTGAAAAAGATGAGTCTAGTGTGGAGACAAGTGCGGAGAGCATTGTGCCTGGAGACCTCCTCTTCCAGAATCCTCAAGATGTGTCCTTCTCTGAGCCGTGAGTGGAAACCAGGGTGACATGGGCCAGCAGAGTCAGCAAGCAGGGAAAGCCTAAACTTTGGAGTCTATTGCCTGGGATTTGGGAATGTAAGATCATTTAGATCAGAATGAGATCTTTATAGATGAGTACATAATACAGCGATTGTTTCTCACACTGGCTGATCCAGTGCCCTCATTTCGTAGCCAATATTTTGTAATGACCCCTGTGCTCTGAAATGAAATTCATGGATAATTAAAGCCAACTATTTTGCAATGTCAAGTTTTAAGCAACATGTTACCTAGCTGTAATATCAAGAAGAAATCAAAAGAAAATAAAGTATTGAAATCAAGGGTGACTACTTTAAAAGATATAAAATATTCTCACAAATTTCCATTATGCCGCTAGGAGATGGGATCACTCCTTCAGTTACTGATAAGGAGACTCTGAGAAGAGCAGTAATTTGCCCCAAGTCCTCTGAGCCAGTTCTAGACCTCAGCTCTCCCCTGTTGCTCAGGCTCATGCATCAGGAATAGAAAATGTGAGCAGACCTGGGGCAGCCAAACATCTGAGGCTTCATGAATTATATCTTGGATGTTGATGATTTTCACATGGAACTTATTTCCCTAGAACTCCATCATCTTCTTAAGAATTTCCTTCTGGCAAATATGAATTAAAGCAGCTGTCTGTTTACACACTCATATGACATGATGGGATCTGGTGCCCACAAACCCCAAACTGGGAGAGGAGGACTATGTCTCTTCCGCACTATGATCAATTTTGTTTTCATTTTTGTCATCTTTTTCTGCTTTCTTTTTTCTCCTATTTGCCATCCATTGATTACAACTTTATAAAACTTAATATGTATCTGGTTCTCTCAGTGCATTTCCTTTCATCCTTAAAAGACAAAATAAAGAATAATTTTAAAGTGGTCGAAGGCAGATACATGGAAGTGACAATGTAGAATTCAAAGCCAGATCTCTCTAATTCCAAACTCAGAAATTCTACCATGCCCTACTTGTTAACTGTCTCCAAATTCTGCTAGCATCCCTTCTTTCCCTCAATCATGATTTTTTTTGCCAGAGTATCACTTAAATCCATTTTCTCTAAAGAAGTTAGAATTATACTTAGAGTCTTATGCTCAGAAAGGATGAAATTATGCTGTAAATCATCAGTAATTGTAAAAACAAGGTAAAATACTCTCTAATCAGCCTTTGCTCATCCTCTCCCTGCTCGGAGGGTGGTAGAAGGGCACTGCAGGGAGAGACAGTCCATGACAGGCAGAAGGCACCAAGCAGTGAAGTAGTGAAGAAGCATCAAGTGACCACAGCAGCCCTCCTCCTGTTCCTTATATTCTATCCAGGCTACAGGAAGATAGCACTCACACTGAGGGAGGATATTCCTCTTATTTTCTCCCAGAACCATGCCAAATCAATCAATGGATTAATTTAGTAATCATATACCCTTGATCCCAGCATCACACATCAGATCCAGACACTTCTGAAACACCCTACCTAAGAGTGCATGAGGTTTTGGGGGGACGTCTAGAACCAGTCATCACAATCACCATAGCTAAGATGTGGAGTCAACAGAAATATTCTTTGGCAGATAAAGGTTTAAATAAAACTATATATATGCCTTTCTGCCATGTCAGTCTGCCTTGGAGCCAGCCAACTATAAGCCTCTACAAACTGTGAGCTAAATAAACCTTTGCTTCTTTAACTTTCAGTCCCAACTATTTTGTCTCAGCAATGAGAAAAGTAATGAAGACATTGGTATTAGAGCCGCAAATACAAGAATGCAGGTATCTTCTGATATGCTGATATTCATATTCTGAAGTGGGAGAGCTGGATCTTACAGTAGTTCTACTTTTAGGGTTTTTAAGGAGAAGCCAAATTGTTCTCCATAATGGTTGATGGGCTACAGGCATCTGGTAGTATCTTTTCGCATGGAGCACACACAGAGGGTGGGGAAGAGGAGGTTGTTATAGATCTTAACAGGGGTTGGGTGATGTAGTGTACCACCAAGGAGTGTCCTCTGCAGCTGTGGAACAGTTTCTGCCCTCCAATCTCAGAGCTGGAAGCTCCTGCACAGAGGGAGCCAAAAAATTCTCTAATCAACCAATGTCTATGTCTCAGAAGGCCAAGGCCGCATATTCAATGTTATCTTGGATCCAAGGCAGATGAATGACAAAATCTTCCCTTCCTAACATGTTGGCTATCATAAGTATCAGATGTGATGCTGAACTGACAAATGTATTCAAAGAATATTAAGATGCTACACAGAAGTAAGTCATAATTAGCATTTTAATAAATTACACCATATTTATTTCGTGTTTTCTGGTGTTTTCTAATGGGTTTGGGGGGGGTTTTGTTTGTTTTTGTTCTTTTTTTTACTGTTTCAGCATGAGGAAGCCCTTGACAAATACTCCCTCTCTATTGAAAAGTGACTATAAATGTTGAAAAAATTGTATCATTTCAAAGAGAATTCCCCCTGAGAGTTTCCAAAGATCCACAAAAATTGATTTCTCTCACTCATTTTGCTCAACAATTTTCCCCTCTTTGATATTATGATTTTTGGTAAAGAAAAAAAAAGCTATAGTGGTTTGTCTGCTGCAGAACTCTGTAAGAATTAGGCAACTGGGAAATTAAACCCACTTACCCATTTGGCATTTATTGTACAACAGTGGTATTGTTCTCTAAATTGAATTCCATTTTAATGTCCTGAGTTTTCCACGTGAATTGAAGTGAAAATTGGTGAATTGAATGAAAAACAGTAGGTGTCATTTGAGTGTAGTCTAAAAGGGCAATTATCAGACCAGTTAAAACAATAAAACAAAATATAAAAATACCTATTCAGAAACACAACTGGAATTCAGCTTTATTTAACCAAATCTTAGTTATCACATTCCTTCCCCAGCCCCCAAATACACATGCATACACATATATACAAACACAAATAGTTTTCAAGAGCCTAAAAAAATTTTAACAATCCCCACCTTTTATGGGACTCTCAAAATATAGGCTATTTTGAATAAAGAATACATGTAATTATCTAGCTTTTTATTTTTTTCTGGCAAATAAAGCCAAAGCATTTTGATTTCTTTTCATCACCAATTATCATTATTAATTCTATTATTTTGAACTGTTTGTTGAGAGGAGTGTTATGACGAGAAAAAGATTTTTCCGGTATTATATTGATTTATTTATTGATAAACTCTATATTTCTGCTTGCTTGCTGTCTGTCTGTCTTCCTTTCTCTCTTCAAGCTTTCCCTCTATCTTTCTTCTTTTTCCCCTTTCTTTCTGCAGACACAATTTTTTATATTATATTCAGGATCTTTCTTCCTCCAGCATATGCTCAGCTCTCTGTGGATGGATGGATGGATGGATGGATGGTTAAATGGATGGATGGATGGGTGGGTGGATGGATGAAACTGTCTTGGCACTTAAAATCCACGGTTTTCTTTAACAAGGCTTTTTCTCCAATTCTTTTCTCTCTCCAGCCAACTCTTATAATTCCTATAACCTTGAAGAAAGAGACCTAATAGTCTCCACAATGAGCAACTCCAATTTTATAGATAGCAAAATGAGTCTGATGAAGCAAAGAAATTTTTAATTCTCAGAAACACTTGAATTTTCTACATCTTAGAAGAATAACTAATGCAGTGGGGCACAGTGAAAAGCCTTTTTGAAGGTGAAATTCTCAGAAAACTTAAGCTATCTCTTTTTGTCATTTCTATGCACGGGTACCCCCAAACCACTTGCTTTTAAAATAAAGATCAAATTAATGACATTAGTGGTTATTTAGAGTTGAAAAGTGAATGGGTTGTCTGTGAAAGAAAATGTATTTAGAGCTGTTACTTTCCAGCTTCATTTGAAAATACAATTGTTCATTGAGTTTCTTAGGACTATTACCTCATAGCTACACAAAAAACCCGCACTTCAGTCATGCATTCATCTTTTATGCTGAAAAGTGGCATCACCTCCTCAGCTCTTTCCACCTGTCAAATTATCTTGATGTTGATCTTAAATCTTTAAAATTAAGACCAAACTTTTCCAAGAGTAGTCATGAAGGCTCTAGACAGAGCTCTTTCAGCTTTGATCCTTCTGATTCATTATCCCATCCTACTCCTGCAGAGAGGTAAAGTTTGTGCTTTAGGACAGGTGAGAGTGCCATGGATGATTAAAAAAAAAAAAAAAGTACTAGGTCAGGAGTTAAAAATTGGAAGTTTCATTTCTGTGCTTCAACCAACTAGTTTGGTAAACTTAAAAATAATTTACCATTTTAGTTTTATCTATAAAAAGAGTATATTGACCCTCCAGAAAAATCTAAAATCTCTCCTAGCTCCAAACATTTAATGCTTCTTTTGGCTTAGTTTATCACTGTCATGGTCTTGTTTTGGGTGACTTGGCAGGGGAAGTGGTCTTCCAGCTTTGTTTGCAGGTTTCCTCCCTACAAGAGGAGTCACTCTACTTTTTATCTATTTTGGTTTTTTTTTTTTTTTTTAATTTTCTTTTACTTCTTTCTTTAAATAAAAAAAATTGGGAAAAAAAGAGGAGTCAAAGGCTGCTTAACGATTAATGTTTCACAGACCAGAATTCAGGCACAAGGCAGCTCGCGGTTTGGAAAGCACTTTTATTAACAATGGGTAGACTCCCACAACATACTGAAGTGGCATAATTTTGCGAAATGAAGAAAGAATCACTGTCAACAGGGGTGCTGAGGGCAGGGGACTGCTGACTGAACTTCCCTACCTTGTGAAGCACTGTGGTGGGAAAACCATGTCCACCCCAGCAAGCATCTTCCAAGGCCAACTGCCTTTTCTTTTCTTCCTCCAGGAAATCTTAATTAGATACCTCAGATTTTAAATCCAAACTGAAATTTGATTGAAGTAATTTAAAAAAACTAAGACTTTAACTAAACTTTAAAATTTAGCAAAAAATCTAAGAACTTCAGGTAACTCTAGGTGGTTGCCACAAACCAACCCATGTCAGTTTAAGGGGTGATCTTAACTCACTTTGCTTCCAGTAGGTGCTTCGTGGGCATCTGTAAACAAATTTGATCTTCACACAAAACCCAGAATGCCCCCATGTGACTTCTCACCTGAAAGATACCAGGTAAGACTCGGAGCTTTGGGCAAATACAAAGTGTTTCCCCATAGGAAGTCTCATTCAGTTATTGCTGCAAGAAATACAGACACCTCTGCTTGCTGCTAAGCTGTGCCATCCCAGATGTCTATCCTTTAATCCTTGGGAGCTTCTGAAAAGACATTCCACAAAATTTACTATCAGTGTGTGAATTGATATGTATGTGTGGGAGCAATATATATATATATATATATATATATATATATATATCCCTGAAATATATGTATAATATATCATACATGTGATGACGCATATTTCCTTTTTTGAATGTGCTTCTTCTAAGTAATTGGTATGGCAATACATAATCTGACCTTCTAGATTCTGTCACTAACATTTAGTTATCTTTTTGCTGTCAGACTAATAATGATTGTGTTTCTCTCTCTCTCTCTCTCTCTCTCTCTCTCTCTCTCTCTCTCTCACACACACACACACACACACACACACACACACACACACCTCTACCTTTTGCTCTGCACAATACTCATAGGTCTGAAATTATGGAATCAGTGTCAGGCATGATCCACAAAGGGGAGAGATGTGAGAAAAACATTTTATCTTCAAAACTATAAACACCACTGGCACTTCCTTTTTTGTTTATGTTCAAAAATAGGAACACAAATGCTGCTTTCAAAGCCCCTTCTCATTTTTAAAGGTAAAACCAATTCAAAACCAACCCTTTCCATCCAGAGATAGAAATCCCAGCCCCTTTCTCATGTTTTCCCTAGAAAAGGATCAAGTCCCTCAAATAATTTTACCTACTTAAGAAGAAAGCAATTTATAAAAAAGATGGTGGCTGGGCATGGTGACTCATGCCTGTAATTCCAGCACTTGGGAAGCTGAAGAAAGAGGCTCATTGTGAATCCCAGGCCAGGATAGGGTATATAGTGAGTTCAAGGTCAATCTGAACTACATAGTGAGATCCTATTTCAAATAATAAATAATTTAATTAATAAATTTTTTTAAAGAATGTTAGGTAAACACACCCATTTGCATTCCTTCATATGGCCCTGGGTTCAGCTCACCAAGCATTTTTAAATTGACCTGCTGATGATCCTGTAAGAACTGTGGTGATAAAAAGGAGATTTTAATTCTGTCTATCTGCAGTCCCTTGCCTATGAGCACGCACTGGAGATTCACAGGCAACATCTTTCTCCTGTGGCGACGGCATATTTCCAGAAGCCCCTGCTGCTCCACCAGGGACACATGGAGTGGCTGTTTGATTCTGAAGGAAACAGATACCTGGATTTCTTTTCTGGGATTGTCACTGTCAGTGTTGGTCACTGCCACCCGTGAGTATTCATATGATCCAGGGGTTTTCATTACAGAAGAATGAGGAAAACAATGATGTGACTGATCCATAACCCTCAATTTGCTTAGTTGGGTTTAAAAAATACCTATTATAGATTAAGATTGACATACTTCCCCAAACACTCCTGGGCACCAACTCTCGACACCACACTTTGTTTTCTGACATTGAAAGCTCTATACATTCTCATTGTGCAAGCAGAGTGGTGTGTACTGTGTGCCTGGAGTATTTCTCACTAGTAACCGCTTTCCAAGGAGAGCAACAAGGCAGAAAGAAAAGGGAAAGCAGGAGGCTTTCAGAGAAGCATGGAGAAAAGAGCGCAAGCTAAGGGATGATGAAAGAGAGAAATAAACTCCAGTATGAGGATCTTCTTCATGGACTTTGAGATACGGGTGAGGAAAAGAAAGCTAATAAGATACAGATGCAATTTTAGCTGGAAATTTACTTAGAAATGAATGAAGCAATTAATCTTGAGACTCTCGAAACCCATAATTATCAACTCACCCATACATGTTTTCAGCAGATTCTTCTATGATCTTTTTGGTTTCCATGTGACCCTCTCATTTTAATATCTGCTCTATCTTGCCCTTAAAAATCTGTCCAATAAATCTCACATTAAATCAGAAGGAAAAAGCAGTGAGTTTAAAATAAATTGTCAAAGCAAAGAAGAAAGCAAAACATTTTCTCTTTTGGCAGATGACAGTCGTTGAGAAATGAGTTGTCCGTCCAGACTCAATCTCATCATCTTCGTTTCCTTCTCTTTCTCCTGCCTTCTGGAAGCATCACTCCCACACAAGGTCCCAAGAGGCATCTAAAATAAATTTCAGACACAATTTAAAACATAACATAAATATGCATAAAGAAGCAGAGAAAATGAAATACATAACAACTTTAAACACTTGCATTGAATCCTCCCAATAATGTTGGCATTATCTCTGATAACTGACCATTAGAGTTGTTGGCTTTCATGATCTTTGTTCTTCTGATCTCCATCCAAGCCCAGCTGATGCCGTTGGCTCTGTCCTTGGCTCTGTTCTTAGTTCTCTGCTCTTCTTTCATCACTTATTTCCCCATCACAGAGCTGAACCCATCTCATCCGCCTACCCCTGCTTATTAGTTATTGCTTTGTCAACTTCTTCACTTGACCCTGCAGCCTAGGTCCCCAACCAAGCTGTAAGAATGAATCTAATGAGCCCAGATCAAGCCTCAGTATGCGCCACATTCTCCATTTACCATGTAGGATACCTCTGACCCTCTCTTCTTTTTTTATTTTAAAGAGAAGAGAACAAAAGAGGATAGAACAAAGCAAATCAGAACAGAACAATGTAAGTAACACAGCACTTCATAACAAGACAACTGGATATTAACAATAGCTACCATAATGTCTCTTTTCTTTGAAATAGTTGAGTATACCTTCAAACACAATCATATCAAACATAACAAAATAGTATAAAACCATTCAAGAGAATGAAAGTATTACAAGATATTCAAACCCAAATTCCAGAAAATAAAAAATGGCTACTATATCTCATATTCCATAAAAAATTTGTTAATACTATCACACATATTAAAATCCAATAAGACACAATATGATAGAACCAATGGAAATGAAAGGACAAAAGCATGGTATGACCTCAAAGCAAGATGATATTAAATCAGCAAGGCTGCCATAAGGTCTTATTTTCTTCAAAGTAGCTGCTCATGCCATCACACATAATAAAATCAAACAAAACAGAATAAAATCATTCCAACCAATGAATGAAAACATTATAAGACTTCAAAGCAATGTATTGGGGAACCAAAATTACCATAAAATCTTATGTATTCTTACCATTTCTTATACTAGGGAGACTATATGGTATTTATACATGTGAGTTTGATTTATTTTATTTATGAGTATGGATTCAAGTTGCACCCATTTATTAATATCTCAATGTGATCATTCTTTATAGCTCAGTAGTACTCCATTGTATAAAAATACCACATCTTTTTATCCATTCCTCATTTGATGGGCCTTTAGGTTGTTTCTAAGATCTGGCTATTACAAATTGTGTTGCTATAAACATAGGTGTACATATATCAGTGTGGTATAATGTTTTCAGTTCTTCTGTAAGGAGTGGTATAATGTTTTATACCACTATCAGTGTGGTATAATGTTTTCAGTTCTTCTATGTCCAGAAGGAATAGCTGGATCAAATGGAACCTCCAATCCCAGCTTTTTGAGAAATCTCCAGACTGACCTCCACAGTGTTTGTACCAGTCTACACTCCCACCAACAGTGCAGGAGAGTTCCTTTTTCCCCACAGCCTCTCCAGCATTTGTTGTTGGTAGTTTTCTTTATCTTGGCCATTCTTTCTGGAGTGAGATGGAACCTCAGTGCTGTTTTAATTCGCATTTCTCTAATGGCCAATGATGATGAACATTTTTTCAGTATTTATTTGCCATTCGTATTTGTTCATCTGAGAACTATGTATTCATCTCAGATGCCCATTTTTGGATTGGGTCTTTGAATTTTGGGGGTCTGATTTTTTTTTTAATGCTTTAATGTTCTAGACAGAAGTCCTTTGTCTGAGGGACAGTTCACTATGATTTTTTCCCAATATTTGGGTTTCCTTTTCACTATGCTGGAGATTTATTTCTACATTCAGAAATGCTTTCATAAGATGAAATCCCAGTTATTGATTCTGGGAAGTATTTCCCATGCAGTTTGATTCTTGCTCATGAATTCTATAGCTACCCCTATGTCCTCAAGATTTCTACCTACTTTGTCTTCCAACAGATTTAGTGTTTCTGTTTTAATATTTAGATCTTTGATCCATTTAGAGTTTAGTTTAGTATATGGTGATCGGCATGGTTCTAGCTTTAGTTTTTGGCATATGGAGAGCCAGTTTTTCCCGCACCATTTATTAAAGAGACTGTTGTTCTTCCAGTGAATGTGTCTGATGCCTTTATGAAAGATAAAGTGGCTGAGTGTGTTTGTAGTTATATTTGTACCTTCTAATCTATTCCATTGATCTTCCGCTCTGTTTTTATTCCAGTACCATCTTGATTTGTAGCTTTGTATTATTACTTCAAGTTGTATTATAACTTCAAGTCAGGGATTGTGATGCCTCCTTCTTTGCCTTTGCTGCTTAGAATTGTTTTTGCTATTCTAGGTCTCTTCTGGTTCCAGATGAATTTTAGGAGTGATTTCTCTATATCTATGAGGTATACTAGTGGTTTTTCATTGGGATTGCATTGAATCTGTATAACAGTTTTGGGATAATGGCCATTTTTGTAATATTTATTCTTCTTATTCATGAATAAGAGAATTTTCTGAGGCCCTCTTCAATTTCTTTTTTCAGGATAGTATAATTTTGCCTGAATAGATCTTTTACTTCTTTCATTAGATTAATTCTTAAGTATTTCATTTTTTGGATGCTATTGTGAAGGGTGTAGCTTCTCTTATTTCTCTCTCAGTGATTTTGTTGTTAGTGTATAGGAATGCTACTGATTTTTGAGTGTTCACTTTGTATCCAGCTACATTACTGAATTTATTTATTATATCTAGGAGTCTTTCAATGGAGTTTTGAGGGGTCTTCTATGTAGAGTATCAAGTCATCTGCAAATAATGATAATTTAACTTCCTTGCTCCTTTTATTTTTCTCTCTTCTCTAATTGCTCTGGCTAGTATTTCCAGTACTATACTAAATAGGAGAGGTGATAAGGGAAATCCTTGTCTTATGCCTGATTTTAAAGTAAAGGCCTTCAATTTTTGGCCTGTTAGTATGATATTGGCTGTTGGTTTGACATAGACGGCCTTTATGATATTGAGGTAAAGACCATCTATTCCAATTTTCTGCAAGGTTCTTATAAATGAATGTTGGACCTTTTCAAAAGCTTTTTCTGCATCTATAGAAATGATCATGTGATTCTTATTTTGGGCTCTATTGATATGGTGGATTACATTTATTGATTTATGTATGTTAAACCACCCCTGCATTCCTGAGATGAATCTCACTTGGTCATGGTGTATAATCTTGATGATTTGCTGCATTCTGTTTGTCAATATTTTATTGAGAATTTTTGCATCAATGTTCATTAGGGAGATTGGCTTGTAGTTCTCTTTTTTTGAGAGTCTTTCTCAGGTTTTGGTACTAGAGTAATACTTGCTTCCAGGAATGAGTTAGGAAGACTTGCTTCCTTTCAATATCATTGAAGAGTTTGAGGAGTGTTGATATTAAATCTTCTTTGTATTTCTTGTAGAATTTCACAGTGAATCCATCTCAGCCTGGCTGTTCTTTGTGGGTAAGGATTTAATTACATTTTCAATTTCATTTATTGAAATTGCATTATTCAACAGTTTTACATCTTCTTGACCCAGTTTTGGTATTTCACATGTTTCTAGGAATCTGTCCATTTCTTCTGTGTTATCAAACCTTTGAGAGTAGAGGTTTTCAAAATAGGTGCTGATGATCTTCTGTTTTTCCACAGTCTGTAGTGATTTCACCCTTTTCATACCTTATTGCATGAATTTGAATTTTTTCTTTCCTTTTTTAAATAAGGTTCGCTAGGGGCTTATCAATTTTATTTATTCTTTCAAAGAACTAACTCTTTGATTCATTGATTCTTTGTATCATTTTCTTAGTCTTTATTGCATTAATTTCTGCTCTGATCTTTGTAATTTTCTGCCTTCTTTTGGCTTTGGGCTTGTCTTGCTCTTCTTTTTCTAGATGTTTAAATTGTAGCATCAGGTTGTTTATTTGTGTTCATTCTGTTTTCTTGATTTGGGAATTCACTGCAATAAATTTTCCTCCGAGGACTGCTTTCATTGCATCCCACAGATTCTGGTACGTTGTATTTGTATTTTGGTTTGCTTTTAGATATTGTTTAATTTATTCTTTAATTTACTCTGTGACTGATTGCTCAAGAGTATATTATACAATTTCCATGTGTTTGTGGGGTTTTCCCAGTTTCTTTTATCATTAATTTCTAGTTTCATGGTGATACGATCTAATACATGCATGGGATAATTTCAATTCTTTTGCATTTACTTAAGTATGTTCTGTGGGCTAGTATATGGTCTATTTTAGAGAATGACCCATGTACTTCTGAGAAAAATATATATTCTGATGTTGGATGAAACATTCTGTATACATCTATCAAGCCCATTTGTTCACAGGTGTGATTCAGTTCTGTTATTTCTTTGCTGATTTTCTGTCTGGTTTATCTGTCTCTTGGTGTTAATGGCACGTTAAGGTCTCCTGTTATAATTGTGTTATTGCATATTAATTTTTCATTTCTGTTAATATTTGTTTTGTATATCTGGGTGCTCCCAAATTTGGTGCATATATATTTAAGATTGTTTTCTCTTCCTCTTGAAGTTTTCCCTTAACTAGTAGTTAGTGACCTTCTTTATCTCTTCAGATCATTCTTGGTTTGAACTTCACATTGTTTGCAAACGGGATAGCTACCCCCACTCTTTTTTGGGTTCCCATTGAATGAAGTATTGTTTTCCATCCTTTGAATTTCAGTCTTTGAGTTTCCTTTTAGGTTACTTGGTTTTCTTGTAGACAGCATATGGTTGGATGTTGCTTCTTGATCCATACTTCCAGTCTGTTTCTTTTAATTGGTGAATTGAGGCCATTTACATCAATGGTTATATTTGTTATATATTGGTTTATTGTTTGCATGTTATCTTTCACCTGTTGCTTCTTTACCTTTCCGCTCTTTAATTGTCTGCCTTGCTTAGTGTTTTTTTCCTATGTCTATCTAGAATGTCTTTCAGTATTCTTTGCAGGGTTGGTTTAGTGGTCATGAAATTCTTCAGCTGTTATTTTCATGGAAGTATCTTATTTCTTCATCCATTTTGAAGGACAGTTTTGCAGAATACAGAATACATCAGTCTGGGTTGGAAGCTGTTTTCCTTTAGGATCTGAAGGATCCTAACTCCATGCTCTTCTTCACTCCATGCTCTGCTTGACTTCATTGTTTGTGTTGAGAAGTCTACTGCAATTCTGATAGGTTTTCCTTTATAGGTGATCTGTCTTTTCTCTCTAACAGCTTTTAACATTCTGTTCTTATGTTGGATTTCTGGGATGGTGATTATTATATGTCTGGGTGTAGTTTTATTTTGATTATGGCTATTTGGAGTTTTATATGCTTCACTGATCTGATGTCAGTTTCCATTCTCATGTTTGGGAAATTTTCAGCTATTACTTCTGTAGATAGCCTCCTGATATCATTTATGTTGTCCCCTTCTTTTTCATTTATCCCTATCAATCTTACATTGTTTTTCTTTGCATCATCTTACAATTTTGAATTATTATCTCCTGATTCCTTGTTATTTTTAAAAGATCTTTCCTTTCTTGTTCACTAGTTGGAATCTTGTCTTCAAGGTCTGAAATTCTATATTCACTTTCATTGAAGCGATTTTGTCAACTTTCAAAGGAATTTTTGATTTCCTGTATATCTCTTTCAATCTGCTTCATACATTCTGTTTGTTTCTTATATTGTTCATTCATGGTTTCTAACTTTATGCATTGTTCCTCTAGTTTTTAACTATGTCTTCTTTAGATGTGCTCAGCATTTATTTCATTACATTTATTATTTCTTCTGTTACCTGGGAGATTATTTCTGATTTGAGTTTTTTTTTATAGCTTTCCAGAGTAGTTTCTTTATTTCACTTAGTATCATTTCAGGCATTTCAGGTGTATGGCTTATATTTTCTTCTATGTACATGGCTCCTAGGCTTTCTTGGGATGGGCTGGAAGTTTGAGGTTGCATTTTGGTCTTTCTTTTGTCATTTTCTTATATTTCCTGGTTTTTATGATGTTCAAAGCTTCCCCCAGGTGTATTGGAGAACACTTCATGTGCCCTCACTGAGAGCAATGGTCCAAAGCCCTCCTGAGCCAACACAAGCATGCTGGAACTCACCTTGCGTGCCTTCAGCTCCCCGGATTGAAAGAAGGTCACTAGGAAGGTCACTAGTCAGGCCCATGGGACCTCCCAAGCCTCCTCTGGTGTTTCAGGAAGGTGGGCAGGCTCCTAACCACTGAGAGCAATGGTCCAAATCTCTCCTTGAGCCTGCACAAGTGCATTGGGACTCACCTCATGCACCCTCAGCTCCCTGGATTCAACCCTCTCCTCTTTCACCATCAGCTCAAATTTAACATTTCCAAGCCTAAATCCATCATCACCACAAAGCTTTTCCCATATTCATTTAGTTCCCATATTCATTTATTTAAGGGGCACATGTGAACTACCTGCTCTGTGAAGAAACTAGGAGCTAGACAACAGCAAGGTGTCACAACTATACTTGGGATTTTGCTGGTGACACAGGCAAGACTAAAATTCATCTTCAATGCTTCTCTATGCTTCATTCCCCATAGCCAGCCAATGCTATGGACAGTTTTCTCTCCAATGAAATGCCTCTTCTACTGTTCTCTATTCCTTTTTCCCAGGGTAAGGCCACCTTGTCCACTGTTGTGGTTTGAAACTAGATGTCTCCTCAAAGCCACATGCACTCCTTTGGGAGGTGATTCAACCATGGTGGCATTGTATTCACCAGTGCACTAACTCACAAATGAGTTAGTGCACTGGTGAATACAGAGCTCAGTGTGCTGTTAGGAAGTGGGGCATGGTTGGAGGTGGGTTACTGAAGATGTGACCTCAAAGATCACCTCTCTCTCCAGCTACCTCTTTCTCTCTCTTTCTGCCCGACATGTGTTGAGCACGTTCACTTCTTCTGAGCTGTTCCACCATGTTATTTCTCCCCTGGAGCCAACTAACCATGGACTAAACTCTAAACCAAAATAAGAGCCTTTTCCTTCAATTTGTGAGTGTTGGGTATTGTGTCTTGGTAACAAAGAAAGTAACTAAAACACCAATCTAGCTGGTCTTCATATTACCAGTAATCTTCAAGCCCATTTTATGCTTCATCGGCTCTCAGATTTTTTTAAATAATGCTTTTGTCAAGCACCTCTTCTTTTTAAGAGTGTACTGACACTTCACAATTTCTATAGTGAGATTCCTGGAACACCAATCACAGGAACAGTTCCATGGAAAAGAACTCCATAATAAGTTTAGGAACTTTAGACCTTTCTTCTTTCCAGAAGAAGCAGAGTACATTAGCCTATTAAAAGTACTAACAGGTCCCAAGTAAAGTATCTGTTTCATCTTATAGTTCTCAAAATTATTTAACCACTGACCTGATTTATTTGGAGAGACAGAAGTTAATAACAGCAGAATTGGGATAAAACAAACCTTAGCTATTGCTGTCCTTTTGAGAAAGTGAGACATCTTATCCTGCCTTTCCTAGTCTCCCTAGTGAAGCACACATATCTATTCACATTTAGTTCATACTTTCCCTCAATATGAACTTTCTATAGCATTGGCTCATTCCTTGAAACAATGTGGTTTCATCATTACAAAACATTCTTCAATACTGACCACTCCTCACACCCAGATAATGGAATCTTCTTTGGAGGCAAAAGCATAGGTCATGTGTACATGTGTTTAATGATCTATAGTTCTTTAGAAAAATAAAATGGGAGGACACTCATACTTACCAGTATGTCATATGTATTTCTAAAATGTTCAAATCAAAAATAGAAGAAATTCTAAGCCTAAACTCCCTCATAAACAAGAAATTTATTATCTAAAATCTCCAAAAGACAATCTTTTGAACATGTGTCTCAGGGAGAAATTCATTATCTTTTGGGGCAAGATAAACCATTGATGGACACCTCTAGTGCTTAAAGGAGGTTTTTCTTAGGTGCAGATGAAAACTGTCTCTTAAAAACTCTGAGAAATCATCATATGTCTGAGTTTAGTGGCTAGTATAAGTGTTGGAAGGATATGCTCAGTGGCGGTATGGTGTGTCTCTGCTCTCCTATTTATCTAGGAAGGTGAACGCAGCGGCACAAAAGCAGCTTGGATGCCTGTGGCACACGAGTTCTGTCTTCTTCCACCCTCCCATGCACAAATATGCAGAGGAGCTCTCAGCCCTTCTTCCTGAGCCCCTAAAGGTATGGTGCTCTCAACTGCAAAATATAGTCTCAGGATTCCAAGGAATTTGCTCAAGGAGGCAGGAATATGGGCAGGGAACTTGGTCAGTTCATTGAACACCTGTCATGGTGAACTGTTAGTGACATGTGGAAGCAAGCAAGCAAAAGAAGAGAATTTGTGAATTGCTGATGAGACAAGCCAATATGAACTTTGCTCCTCTCTGGTCTTCTTTCCTTGGTGACTCGCTTCATCACACCTATGCTGAAATCACTTTCCAGGAGACCCAGTTCTCCTGGTCTTTATATCTATGGCCAAAAAAATGTTCATATCTTTGCTCTTTGGCTTCTCTACAAAGTTATTTACATTTCTTCTTTTACAAAGAGCAGAGCCATTTTTTGATAAATAACATTAATCTAAAATTCACTTAGATATTTTTGTGAAATGTTTTTCTGCATCTCAAATGACTGACTTTTTAAACTGAATTAAGTTGTAAAAATGCTGGCCAAGATTAGCATCTAAGCATTGAATGAGTTAATTGATTCGGCCTGCAGATCAACAAGTTCGGAACTCCTGGAGGAGAAACGGGGATTAAATAAAAGACATGGGGGAGACAAAAAGAGACGAAGGCAAGTTGATGTTAACCCAATCAAGCCTCCGGTTTATTGAGAAAATAATCACACCTTTTATAGGCTAAGGGCGGGAGCTGGGACAGGAAGAGGTTAAACAGATGAATACAACAGGGTTACCATCACATCCGGATAAGTGACGTAAGCAGAAGAGGATTATGGTTAATGTAGGCAGACGCAGTGCCCATAGGAGAGAGAGAGAGAGACATCTAGGCAGCAATGCCTGTCACTCGGCTCCCTACATCTCCTCCCTTTTTATATTATTTAATTAAGAGTATGGCAGGCCCTGTGAGGACAGCGTCTGTCTTAGGTCAAGGACCTCATTGCATGAACCCAACCAGGCCTTACCCGTCATGGGCTTGCAGAACAGCAGTTGGTCCTGTGCCTGTCTTAGGTGGCCGTTGGAATTAACATGCATGTCCTAGTTGCCCGTCTCTGACTGCCTGTCCATTGCTCCAGGGCAGTCAGGCCGCATCATCATATGGGCCACTCATGGGAATTCCTTCCCTGTAGGTTTGTTGATCTGTCATCTCCAGCTGATGATAGTGTACCTGAATGGGCTTTGCCATAAATGCGTCTATCCGGTTATTAATGAACATCATAATCCTCTGAAAAATACAAGACTCACAGAAATGAGAAACAATAGGTCAGCTAGGGGACCCAAAAGGGGGACTAGGTAAGGGAAAAACTCCCCCCCCCAAAATCAAGGAGAAGGGGTTGACAGCCATTTATTGGTGTCTCTGTATGAAGTCATTCTCCTATGTCTTGGAGCATGCCTTGTATAACACTGGATGCAGTCTATTTGGCTGGCGTATGTTTCTCCAGACCGAGAAGAGCCTCTTCCACAGTCATGGGGTTCTGTGCATGGCTGTCAGCAGTTGCAGTCTGTTTGGCAGGGGTCAAAATCCACCATGGGTGTGGTGTGGCTCAAGAAGGCTGGTTAAGCAGCATAAGGCTCCAGGGAGATGTGTCACCTGTAAGAGAACACAGGGGATTGTGCCTCAGGAAATAACATTATTCCTGGGCGTTACATGGGGTCTTTGAAGAACTGTCTACTTGCTTTACGAGGCGTTCAGGTAGCCATCTAGCTTCTCTATCTTGTTGAGAGTAAACACACACTGAACCTCGTCCCCAGATAAGGACTGGATCAGGGCCATTCCACACATTGGTTAGTGGGTCTCTCCATAAAACAGATGTAAACCGTGTTTGAGTCTGAGTATGCCAAAACCGAGATGCTGCGGAGCAGCCTGAAGCATCCAGGGTCAGAAAATTTAAAATAAAAAGAGCATGTGAAAGGACATTTCTAGGGGACCCCTGGGTGGGGTACCATGTCTCCCTTTTTATTTTATCTATGGTGAATTTAAGAGAACGATGCGCATGTTCAACAATGCCTTGTCACTGAGGATTGTAAGGTATACCTGTAGTGTGGAGGATATTAAGGCTTTTACAAAATTGAGCAAAGGAGGTGCTGGTATAGCCAGGGCCATTATCGGTCTTAAGCTGTTGAGGACATCCCAGAACTGAGAAGGCTGACAGCATATGGGCTATAATGTGTTTAGCAGCTTCTCCAGTCTGGAGAGTGGCAAAAATGAAGCCGCTATAAGTGTCAATGATGACATGTACATATTTTAGATTGTCAAACTCATTGAAATGGGTAACATCCATTTGCCATAAGGCATTAGGAATTAAACCTCTAGGGTTGACTCCTAGGTGTTGAACAGGTGAGTGGATAGCACAAGATGGGCAATTTTTTACAATTTGTCTGGCTTGCTCACGGGTAATTTTGTAGAGAAGGCGGAGGGTGTGAGCATTGAGGTGATGTAGCTGGTGGGCTTGTTGGGCCTCAGACACCTTGGAGTCCTGAGCCATAAAAACCTGTGCTCGTACAGCAACATCAGCCAAATGATTTCCTTGGGCAAGAGGCCCTGGGAGGTTGGAATGAGCTCGCAGATGACCGATAAAGAACTTATGACGGCGAAGCCGTATGAAGCATTGTAATTGTTTGAACAGATTTGCAGCTGGGGAAGCATGACATATAATAGCAACAGTCTCTAATAATGGAACAGACTGAGCAAGGTAAGCACTGTCAGTATACAAATTAAATGGTTGGTCAGAGTAAGCAGCAAAAGCTGCAAGAATAGCTTCTAACTCTGCTAATTGTGCAGAGGAAGTATCTGCCTGGAGGGTAGAAACATTGTCTTGAGATACATAAGCAGCCCTTCTGGAGGATGAGCCATCAGTGAATAAAACCAGGGCACCCGGAAGGGGTTGTGAAGCTGTGACTTTAGGGAATATAAATGAGTGACGATTAGCAAAGTCAACTAGCTTATTTGGAGGGTAATGATTGTCAATAGTCCCTGAATAGGAAGCTAAGGCAATAGGCCACACTTCAGTACTCTGAAGTAGCCAATCTATTTGGTCTTTTGTAAAAGGTTGAATGATAATGTCTGGTTCTTTGCCAAAGTAACATTTTACCTGCTTTCTACCCTGGATTATTAGGTCTGAGACAGCTTGGAAATAAGGCAAAAGTGTTCTTTTTGGAGAGACTGGTAAATGGACCCACATGAGGGGAGCTTGTTGCCAGAACACTGCTGTAGGGCAAAGCTTTGTATTAAAAATGAGAAACTGTAAAGGCTCATTGTAGTCCATAAAGGAAACAGTTTGTTGAGCAATAGTCTCTTCTACTTTACTGAGCGCTCTCCTGGCATCAGGTGTAAGCTCTCGGGGGGGAAGTTGGATCTATGTCTCCCCAAAGCAGTGCATAAAGGGGCTGTAAATCATGTTTAGTTAGTTTTAAAAATGGTATGAGCCAATTAATATCTCCCAATAGTTTTTGGAAGTCATGAAGTGTAAAGGAATAGAGAAAAAGCAATCTTTAAGATCTATGACAATTTTAAAAAATCCTAAAGGAATGGCACTGAGTGAGGGGAGGCCTGGTTGTAGGGGCCCCATTAAGACCATTGTCTTATTTATCGCCCTAAGGTCTTGTAGCAGCCTCCACTTTCCTGACCTTTTCCAGATAACAAAGATAGGTGTGTTCCAAGGGGAATTACTAGGAACAATGTGTCCTGCATCTAACTGGTCTGGTATCAGCTGCTGTGCGGCTGCAAGCTTTTCAGAGTTAAGGTTGTTTTTAAAAGGCTTATATGAATCCCCAATTTGCCATGGAGGCACAGGGAGTTGCGGGCTGCCATCCTGGGACCTGCTGATCACGTCAACAGGTGGAAGTGGTGGCAGATCACCATGTACAAGGACCTCTAACAGGCCATCATTCTCTGCATCTGAGAAATCAGAGGCTTCAGATTTTTCTGAGGATGGTTTTGAGGTAGATTTAAGGAAGTCGCGCAAGGCAGCCTCACCTAGTGCAACTGTCTCCTCAACCTGAGGGTCTGCATGCCTCTGGGCAAGCAGCTCAGAAATTAAATTCCAATATGTAAAGGTGGTCACAGGAACCTTTTTTGGACCGAAAACTCCAATCTTTTAAAGCATCTCTTACTCTATTCCACCTCTTGGTATCTGTAGAACCCTCTAGGGGGAACCAAGGGCAAACCTTATGAATAAACTGAAAATACTGTAATAATTTTTGTTTTTTCAACCCTTATCTCTCTTGTCTTTAATGCCTTTATAAGGCCTCCGACGAACACTTCATGTTCGCTCAATACTTGACCCATGTCGGGAAAGGGAAATGGGGTTGCCGTTCACTCACCGTGACTCGGGCAGGACGTCGGGTAGTCGTCTGCGCAGGTCTCGGCACTTGATTTAATGTCCTGTTGCTTTAAGCTTTAATCCTTGATTCAGTTTACTCATTCCTCGGCCGAGGTCTCTGGTTCAATTTGCTTTCACTTTCGGTTTAAGCCGGCTGTCTCTCGAACGGCTCCCTGGTTAACTTCTCCGTGCCAGGAGCCCCACGTTGGGCGCCACTTGATCCGGCCTGCAGATCAACAAGTTCGGAGCTCCTGGAGGAGAAACGGGGATTAAATAAAAGACATGGGGGAGACAAAAAGAGACGAAGGCAAGTTGATGTTAACCCAATCAAGCCTCCGGTTTATTGAGAAAATAATCACACCTTTTATAGGCTAAGGGCGGGAGCTGGGACAGGAAGAGGTTAAACAGATGAATACAACAGGGTTACCATCACATCCGGATAAGTGACGTAAGCAGAAGAGGATTATGGTTAATGTAGGCAGACGCAGTGCCCATAGGAGAGAGAGAGAGAGACATCTAGGCAGCAATGCCTGTCACTCGGCTCCCTACAGTTAATATTTATGAAGAATCTGTAATAGTGCCCAATACCTGATATTAGCTGTTATTGTACTGTAGCATCTATATTTTCTAGAACTGTATTTACTGTATTATCTAGAACATAGAGAAAAGTTTGGAATAGCTGTTACCCAAGTTCAGACCCAGATGTTCCTGAAAATCATGAAAAGCAAGGTAGTGAGTAGTCGTGAACACATGCTGCCTAGTCCCTGACTGGTGACCTAGTTCCCTTCAGTTCTCCTCATTCTTTCATCTAAGTGAGGTTTTATCTGCTCACTCATTTTTTTCAATGTTCACACATAGTACAGTCAGGCTAGAGTAGCCCCTGGGATTTCAGGGCCAGGGGTTTTGCTTCACTCCAAGCCTTCAATATCATGTGGAATAAGTTAGACTGAGGAGTGAAAAGACCTCAAATATATGCAGCCACTAACCACTGTGTCCCTCACCACAGCTCCTCCATTTGAATATTTCACAGAAAAGCCAACGCAAACCCAAAATGCTTCACAGCTCAGACAAACTCTTAGTTATTTTTGTATTTCTGCCGCATTCTAGCCACTCAATGAAGAGTGGAACAATTAATACAGCAATTAAATAATGGAACTTCTAGGTAAACTGGTCTGAAGTGATCTGTGAGCGCTCTCCTCTCTCTCTTCTCTCTCTCTCTCTCTCTCTCTCTCTCTCTCTCTCTCTCTCTCCCTTTCTCCTCTCTCTCCCTCTTTCTCCTCTCTCTCCCTCTCTCTTTCTTCTTTCTTCTTCTTCTTTCCCTCTCCCTCTCTCTGCCTCTCTCCCCACCCCATAGTGGGATACAGTCTTTAGCACTTTTGCATGAATTGAATAACCAGAAACGAAATGAAAGTAAGCAGTCATGTATCTTTTTTTCTCCCTCCAGGTCATTTTCTTAGTAAACAGTGGTTCAGAAGCCAATGACCTGGCCATGCTAATGGCCAGAGCACACTCACAACACACAGACATTATTTCTTTCAGGTAATTATACCTTAGAAAACCAACTTTAATGACATTGACTTTTTCCAATACTAAATGTGTGTATTTAAATCTTACCCTGGAAAAAAAAAGAAAAAAACATTACTAGGGATATCTTTTCAATTTTAAGTTTTAGAGAATGATCAATCAAGTGAATTTAGTAACTAAGTAAACTCATTTAAATTGACTTAATAGTTATATTAATAATAAAAATAATAGGAAACTAAGAACTTGTTCACCGTTCCCTTTTTTAGCAGACTCTTATATAACCAGATTCATAAGATTTTTCTAAAAGCAGTAATTTAGAGCAAAAATTAGAGGAATGGATAGTCCTGCTTTGTAACCTAACTAGCTATAATTTCAGTCTAAATCCATCATCCTCATCATAGCACATATATATTGTACATTTGACAGAAAATGTGCATGCGGTAATTACAAGCACAAGGAGACATTTGTTGTCAAAGAAATATGAAATAAAAGATTGTGATTAATGATTTATCAACATAGAATTCCAGAATAAACATAAATAACATAATAAATTCCATAAACATAAATAATTCCAAAATAAACACTGCATCCAAATAAACAGTGCTCTATTTTAAACAGTCTTATACTACCAAAGTTTGAAATGTCTTGTCTTCTTTTTCAACATACATGACCGTCTTCTCAAATAATTTTGTCTCTTAATTTAACTAAATTCTGAATTTGAGAAAGGGTCAGAGAGAATTAGTCTGATATATATACTAAATATGACTGTTTTACATTCAAAAGAAATAAAACCTGTATTTCTTACAGGCCAAATAAGGTAGTTAGAACTCACTTAAAGACCATTCTCTCAAAGACACTGACCCAAGCTTCCTCACAGGAAAAAATATTTGTCTTTTGAAAGTGACTATTTTTAAGATTAGCAATTGTTGAACATACAGTTTCTGGTATGTTGCTTGTAGATCAGTTAGCTATTTTAAAGTAATAATATGGGACAAGTTTTAAAGTCAGTCAGAGTTCTTATTCAGAAGACCTCCAAAAGTCCTTTCTCAATTTCAAATATATAACACCATTTGAAAAGATACATAAGTACATTCCTGTCATATAGGCTTGGAAGAGTTCTTGGAAATTGTTGTAATTCAATGTTACTCAATGTCGGGCTCATATCCATAGCCTTCTTAGATTTTTTTTTTTTTTTGCATTTTCTACTCAGGCCAATAACTCAAAAGAAATTAACATGACCCCATCCTCTCATTTCTTTTCTCTGCAGAGGAGCCTACCATGGATGCAGTCCTTATACACTTGGCTTGACCAATATAAGGACCTTCAAGACGAAACTCCTCACTGGGATGGGTTGCCAATCAGTGAGTTTTAAAGTTTTGTTTGTTATCTTGCTTCTCAAAGAACTGCTGAGTGCGTGGAATAATTGACCATATTTTCCTGATATTATAATTAGAAACTAATATAAAGATTAATCTGAGACTCAACTTAACTCAAGTGCATTGAAGATCATTTATGGCCTTCAGAGTCTGAATAATAATTAATGATAGAGTATTTTAATTTACTTTCTTCTAAGTAAAGCAAGTAAATCTGAGTCTCCAAAAATGTTGAATGTAAAAAATTTCCATAAAGTCATCATTGTTCTTACCTACAGTTCTCACATACATCAGTCTTCTCAATCACACAATCAGATAATTATCTTTATTCTTTAAAATGACCTTATCCAATAGAACTTTGAGAAAATTGTTTCTAGGCTGACATTAAATAAGTTTTCACTGTAGACTGCCCACATAAGTGGTTTCTGAGAAAAAAATATCTCTTCAAAGTAGAATATTAAATTTTCACCCTAAGTAAAGGAAGAATGAGGAGTCAGAATCTCAGGATCAAATTCAGAAGCCCTCTTGCCTTGCTACCTTATGATTCACCAAATTTGCTGTCTTGTATTCATATGTTGCCAAAATCCCTTTTTTTTTTTATGTACAGACAATGTGCCCAGATGTTTTCCGTGGCCCTTGGGGAGGAAGCCACTGTCGAGATTCTCCAGTGCAAACAATTAGGAAATGCAGCTGTTCACCAGGTTCAATGGGGTGGGGAGGAAGGGGCAGAGTGGATAGGACCACCCGGTATGAACAACCAGATTTGGAGAAATGGGAAAGGAAAAGTCAAAGAAAACAAACTCATATAATAAGTGACCCCCTCATGGAATCAACACTTCTCATGCCTACCATTGCTTAACTATCAGGGCTTCCCTACAGCCATGTAGGGAAAGTATCTCAAGCTATCAGATATAAGTTTAAAATCCACTATCATCTGGCAACTGATTAAAGGAGCTCTAATAGTTCTATTAACAATAAGTCTGTTATCAGTTATAAAAGAAAACAGGTAGATAGGATTATTCACCAATTCTCATGGGAGAAGAGAAAAGAAAAAAATGCTTTTGACAATTCAGAACTCTGGTCAAGGAAAAAAAAAGTTCTTCAAGGACTCAGAATCCAAACCAAAGTTAGAGCATCTGTCTAAATATGAAGTCAGATCTGAAAGCTGGTGACATCTCTTGCAAAAGTTCTGAAAGCATTCCCACAAGGAAAATTTCTATTTATCGACCACATTTTTATTTGTACTTTTTGTCCTTCTCAACATGAAAGAGACATGGCATGGAAACATAATTTTCACTACTTGTCAGCAAGCCCTGTCTCATATTGTCACCATAATGCAGGACTTTTTGAAAAGCTGCCTCTGAGTAATTCTGGAGGAAAGAAGAAACTGCTGTAGCCAAAAGATCTCTAACAGAATAGTATGAGTCACCAGGTCAAGAGGAAGAATGCAAGACACAAGTCTTAAGAATCATGAGCCACAGTCTTGAATAAGAGCCACAGTCACCACAATCTTCAAACTCATATGGGATTCTAGTGAACAAAGGTAGGAGAATGAGAGAATGAGTGCTGAACTAAGACAAAATATCCTTGTCACAAGAGTTAAAACCACCAGGAAGTTCAAAGCTATAATTCAAACTCCGCATTTTAAAGATGAGGAAACCGAGATCCATGTAGAGGAAATAAGAGAGCTATGATTTGATCCCAGGCATTCTAACTCCAAAGCCAGTGCTTACAACCCCTGTGGCTACCATCATTCACACTGATGCACCAGCAAGCTGAAGCCAGACTGCAGAACAAATAGTGTCTGCTCTTCCTCCATGATGGAGGAAGCGCGTGCAGTCGGGAAGTCTCAGTGCTGCTCCCAGTACTGCCAGGGTTCACTGAGAACAAACGCTCCATATTTTGCTTCATTTTATTGTAAAATGAAGATAGCAAGGCCTATCTCCCTACCCCAGTTCTGATCACATTGCAAGATATAAGGCTTATAAACGTATTTGCACAGGAAGACAGTCAATAGCAATTTAAATTTAATTTTTACTTGACTATATAAGTAAAGCCTTATATGCACATCACATCTGGAGAACATCATGAAATGAATCATCAAGAAGTACAATCAGACTCACAGGCCTGAGTCTGTCTTCAAATCCACCAGCACAGAGTTTAGTACACAGGTCGTTTGCTCCCTACTCCACAACCGTTATCTTTCTCTCTCTCTCTTTCTCTGAATCCTCCCTTTTTGAGGACTTCTGCTCTGACTTAATAACTGGAAACCTCATGGTCATCTCTCTAGACATGCATTCCTGCTTCTCTGAACTGTTGTCTTTGATGAATCAGCTGTTTTCTTAATCACTAACCAGTCTAATTATTTAAGTACAGGATGACCAAAAATTACATATTTTTGTCTTGTAAGATAATACAAGAAATATAAACATAACAAATGTATCAAATTTATTCAATACAAGAATCAGCTAGTTGAAATAATATCTCCCAGAGCAATGCTCCAGATGGTCAGAATGTAAACAAATACACTGTCCGAGTGACACTTGGAGTAAACTGTTAAGTGATTAACTTTTTTTCTTTTTAAATAATTTTATTGGTACACTTTTGACATAGATAATGATTGCATTCATCATAGGTAATTTATACCTGCACATGATATACCTTGATTTTTTTGTCATTCTCCTCCCTTCCTTTCAATCCTTCTCCCTGTCTCCCTTTAAAAGCTTTGTTTCTATTATTTTCCTTCCATTCTTCTTGATGTTTTTATCTCTGTTCCCTATTTTTCCTTTCCCCTCTTCCCATTTGAACATTTTCTTGCTACTTTCCAATGTCTATCTCCTTGTTTACCCTTTGGGTTTCTCACACAAGAGAAACAATACAATATTAAAACGTGTATCCAATTAACTTCACTTAAAATTGTGTCCTCAAGGTACATCCATTTACCTAAAAATTTTCAAGTTTATCCTGGGTAGTACTCCACTCTGTTTTGAGGAGACAAGATTCATATCGCATCTTGAAATAGACTGGAATACATAACGGGGCTGCAGCCTCCTGCAGTTGTACCTGAGAAGTGTTTGGTATTTGTTTTAAAACTGATGAGTTCACAGATCCATATCAACATGTAAGTACTTTGAGTACAGAAGACTCCAGTTCTCAGGTCCTCTCAATCTGTCAACTGGATGCATATAGGTCCCAAGCATGGTAAAATATTTTCATTTCAGAATTATATTATTAAACCTCAGAATAGACAGGAGGCCATGTTGTAAACCAAACACAGATTTTTTTTTTAATGTTGTCAATTTTGTTATCTTATGCTATCTACCTCTCCAGGAGTTTTTATCTCCAGGTGTGAATGCCAAGCTCTGAGTTTCAGATATCACCCATATGAAACTCACCTCTCATTACCCACTGCCCCCATAATTCTTGTACATTGGGAAGGAAGGTTTTCTTTTCCTTAAAAATGTTCATCTTTTGTTAGTGCCCCATTTTTCTCTTTCTGGATCACCAACTAAAACAGACTCCCATGGCCACTCTGTGGTAGTATCCACAGCCTCTTGGTGTTGTCATGGAGACACTAATGTACCAAGTCTCTTTCCAGAGGTAACCTAACCTGGAGTCACAGCAATGAGCCACTGAAGCAAGTATGAAATAAAGTAAAGAGATGAGCATAATAAACAACTGTCTCATCACTGAGCATGTGGGCATATGGAGGAAAAAGTCATGAAATATCTAGCAGAGGTTCAAGCAAAATTTTTCTTTGGTGTACCAAATTTAAACCTTTGAACTGATTTTACCCTAAACTTGGATTTTTATAGCTAAAAAGCTTGCTAAATCTCCAAATTATATCTTTTGAACATCTTTTAATATATCCTTTAGGGTTATCCAATGCTGTTTTTCTCTTTCTTTCCTGATCAATTTAGGGAATTTCACTCTGTAGGAACATAGATTTGTCTACTATGTCCTATCGATCAAAACAACATACACGATTCTAAAACCATACCTTCTGACTTTAATGTTCCTGTCACTCTTTCTTCTTCATGCACCTAACTAATCTCCGGTATCCAACTCACAAAATTAGCAGATAGGTCTGTCAGGCAAGCTTGCTAAAATATCACGCTCTTAGGGACAGGTTGTGTTTTTCTTCAGTTCTACTTAATGAAAAGCTGAGTATAAAATGTATTTTTGCTGTAGTTACGATGCACATTGCTGATAGATTCTCTTCCATACCTCTATCCCTCAAGAGACAAGCTATGTTCAGACCTCTAGGTAAATGATGCAGTGGTGCGTGGTGATTCTCCTCCCAACCAGACTACTTTCATTGTCATATGGGCAGAGGTCTCTATCACATTTATATCCTTCTGTAGATTCTGAGTTTAACTTTAGAAATGCTATAATGCTCTTTAGAATTAAATTACAAGTGATAAAAATTATGAAATTTCAATCACTTTTGGATGCAATTGATCTGGTATCTTTAGTATTCCAGGTCAGGAGAGTTCCTGTCTTAGCCTTTCTGCTTCCTTGATCATGCCCACGTTCTGTGATGACACACACAAATGGTAGTAGCTTCCTAAGCATAGACAGCCCTTCTGGGAAATCTTCCCCTTCCTCATGACCTTTCTCACCCAAAGATTTCATGAATATATAGGGAGTTTAACAAATAGGATAGCATCCATCACTAGCAGCAGAAACACTTTCATTATATGGAAGCAAGATGTGACTATAAACATGATTACTACTAAGACATTTGAGCTGAATGAACATGATGGCATTAATATGATAATAGCTCCACCTTTAAAAAATGAAAACACCTAGATAAAATATGTAACACACTCTCTTTAAAGCTTTGATACAAAAAACCAAAAATTCTCAGAATTCTCTGAAAATCAAATAATGACTAATTACTACAAGTAAAAGTATGCTGTATAATAGTCTGAGCCCATCTTTGGTATTTACAGTTCATTCCTGGAGAAAGTAGTTTAACTCTATACAACTAAGCTCAAGAACATTCCTTTTCCTTTTAAACCTTTCTATATATAAATCAAAAAAGAAATATTCTATTAACCAAAGTAGCAACAGTTAAACTAAAATTACTGAGACCTAGGAAACTCAGGTTACTCTTTCCCACATTTCATCAAAAAGACCTCAAAACACATCAGTAACTAAAACCAAGTTATTGTTTGGAAAAGGGAAAATTTTTTAGCAAGGGAAGTTTGTTTTTCTATTCTTTCAAAATGTTTTAACAATAAAAATTAATGAAAAATAGAATTGATACTTTTAAAGAATGAAATAAGTTATCTAAACAATATATTGCATTCTAGGAAAAAGTGTCCCTGTAATTCCAAACTTTCTCTGCTATACCTGTCAAAGCAATTTACAAGTGAAAAACAATTGTTGCTAAAAGGTCATTTTCAAAATTCTAAACTATACTAGTAACCCATGGAACTACTGGTTGAAATCATGTTTTAGATTTTTCTCATCCATAACTCATTTCTAAACTTTAAATAAATTTTTACAGATACTTTAAATATAAACTATTAAAAATAACAATAAAACAATTCTCAAATAATTAAAGAGATCATTAAAACAGTGTAGCCATTTTTGGCCTGAGGGCATTTGTTTAATCTGGTAAACTTGGGCTTCAGTTTTTATAGTTCCAGGGGTGCAGGAAGGAAATGATGAGTCCAGGGTAAAACCAAACAACCATTGTCATAAGGAAGGTTCCTCTGCCACACAGCTGGAATCCCCAAGAGCTCACACCCTCATCCATGATAAAACTAAAATAAATGCCCCAGCAGCAACTCACTACGTCCAAGAATTCTCATGCTGAATGGAAGTGAACCGGACCTGCGAGGAATAACTACCGATATCTGAACCATCATGAAATTTACTAGCATATATATAGTGTAGGCTAGGAATGGCCTGTGTGCCTGGAAGCTGCAGATATGAACATATTCTGAAGGAATCTAACTCATCCCAGGACCCAAAGAAGTCTCAGAAATGAAATTCCAAGGAAAATAAACAACTCATAGTCAAGAATAACCAACATACAAGGATACAAAACTCCACAGTCATGAAAAAGACTCACAGGAATTTCAAATAACAGTTACCCATATAGACTAGAAAATGAGTGTGTTTACTATATTTAAAGAAAATCAACTATCAACTTGAAAATATATGTAGGATTTAAGAAGCTATAAGAATTGACAAAGCAAGTTTTGAAAATAAGTAGATCTTCTAGTGATAAAAAAAAATAGTGGGTGGGTTTGCCAGCAATTAGAATCAGACCAAAAGAGAATTAATGAATTAAACACATCATTTGTACAAGGCCATTTTATTCCCTATTCAGACAACAAAGATTTTCAAAGAAATTGTTCAGTCTCTGACACTCCCATAATTTCTACTCTTTGGTCCCTGTCAGTTCATTGTTAGAGTATTCTGGCACAATAGAGAAGCAAAAGTACAAAATGAACAGGCTTATTGAGTTGAGGACGTAAAAAGCAGCACACAGTCCATGTTGGCTGGGCTGTCTCCTTCGACCAGATACAGAGTGGCAGAGAGTTATGTGACATCTGATTGAAGTGGCTCATGGGGTGGATATTGATGACATGTGAGGAACCAACTGGAATTCTCGTGCATGTAAACAGGATGGGAAGTTGCAATTAGGGCTGAAGAAGAAGCAGGAAGTGGTAGGTGTTCCCACTTTGGCCTTCCGCCATGTTAGACCACTGCCATAACTGTACAGTAATTTATACCAGGGCAAAACTCTTTCATTCAAGTATTTACAGATACTTGTGGGATACTGGACATCTGCCTGGGCACAAGGCATAGTTCCTGTTCTCTGCTAAAGGGGAAAGATCCATAAACAAGCGTTTATAGAGCCAAGAGTCACAGTGGGTGAAAGTTACCTGAATCTACCCCATTGCTCTTTGGATTAAATTCTAATAGTTCTACAAACATGTTTACTGATTGAAGACAGAAACATTTTCTTCTTTAATACTGTACCTCAGATTAAACAGTGATAAAAAGGAAATGAGGGTTTTTTAACTTTTATTAGTGCACATTTGTTAGTACACAATGATCACATTCATTCTGTCCAGGGATTGTACGTGTACATAGCACATCTCAGTTCCCTTCATTTTTCCCCTGTCTCCACTCCCCCACTTTCATTTTGCTAGTATTATATTCATTTGTTTATTCTATCAGACCTTGTAAAGTCAATTATCATGTACTGTACACAGATTGAAAACCAGACTAATAGGCCAAAGAACATATTAAACATGCAAGACAATTGTACTAAGTCAAGGCATGCTTTCAGATACATTGTTTGCTCTGAATTACAATAGCTTTGCTTTCTTTTTCTTTCTTTTTTTTTCCTATTAATTAGATTTATTTTCAAATAGATTAAATTACCCTAATTACATTTGAAGTAAGCCCACCTATTTGAGAAGTTGAATATCCTTCAGTGAAATAGCTATACCACATTCAGCAACATTCTAGGGCATTTCCCTCCTAGACAGAAATGACTGCGATGGTTTTTTATGTCCTTATGGTTACACTAATAAATGCAAGTCATTTCTACACAACGCTTTCTTTTCAGAAGCAAATATCCTCTCATCCTAGTTTACCATGTTCTGAAATTCTCCAATAAGTTTTCTCTATTTTCCTTCCTTTCTTTATGATTTTTCCCTTTCTTCACATCTTTATATGTTGTGGTTTGTGTTTCTTTGTGTGTTGTGGTTTTGTTTTTTGCAGACTGCTGCCAAGCTAAAGACCAGTATATTGAACAGTTCAAAGATACTCTGAACACTTCTGTGTCCTCATCAATTGCTGGATTTTTTGCAGAACCAATTCAAGTAGGTATATGAACCTTAGACATTAATTGAGCTCGGTTCTACATGAAAAGAGAACTTATATTCATAATTTTAGAGAATTCTGAAATAATTAAGTGTCCATTGTTTTGTCATTCTCCAAATTTAATTCATTTTCTTGGTCTCCTTAAAAAAGAATAAAGTCCTGATTTTAAATTGACCTCCATTTTCACAGATGGAGGACATTCGCAAGAAAGAAAAATCCCTATTTGTAGTTGCTTAACACTTAAAATGTCAGGGAGAGCCTTATTTAAATCCCAGCAAGTTCCCTTATCCTCCTGTTTTCTACGCTCAGAAAACAATGATCATCCATTCTCCAGGACAATTGGTTGGAACAGTTGTACGGACTGTAAACTCATTATCATTATTATTGTGAAAATGACCTGCCTTTTTGTTTAATGCTGTGAAAGGCCTAGTGCTGATGTTATGGATCTTCTTGGTTTTATCTTTTGCAGGGTGTGAATGGCTTTGTCCAGTACCCAAAAGGATTTCTAAAGGAAGCCTTTGAGTTGGTGCGAGAGAGAGGAGGCGTGTGTATTGCAGATGAAGTGAGTAGCAATGGAAGGGTCCAGTTTAGTGTAGTGGGGTCAGGATGGCACAGGAATATCCCATTTGTGATATTCCAGATGGAAAACAGCGAGTGCTTAAACTCTGAAATGGGACCATAAATTAAGGCAGCTTCTGCTAGTTCGCCCACTGGTTTGTTTGTTTAACAAGTACAACATAACCTAAACATCCCATTGATGTCTATCAAATAAGTTGCAAACAGGCATCAATGATGCTACCATTGCTCAGTGTGTGTGTGTGTGTGTGTGTGTGTGTGTGTGTGTGCGCGCGCGTGCATGTGCATGCGTGCACCTGTTTGGTGTTTGCAGCAGAAGAACTGACAAACCATCTAGAAAACTGAACATCATAAGTAAGTATTCATCTTAACTTTTCAAGGGCCAGGGATATAACTCAGTGGCATAAGTGCCTACCTGGTTCTGAGTTTGATTCCCAGTACCAAAAAGAAAATCTTAATTTATCAAAATAATATTAACCAGTCTGACAGTAAATATGTTTCTGACCATGTTTTCCTGGTAATGATATTATTAAAAAATAATAATCCAGCCACTAAATTAGATGAGTGTTACCACTACTGGTATTTGGAAAATAGTTCCCACAAGAATTAAAATCATAGGATTGAGTTAACAAACTACAACTTCCCCAGGGAAAGTACTTTAAAGAGAATAACACTCATTGACTGTGTAAGTACTAATCTATATTTAAAAAGAATCCATTAGCTTATTAATATACTTCATGTTAAAGTACATCAAAGAACACAGGTTTCTATGTTTTGTGTTCATTGGTACCGGGGATCAAACTCACAACTTCGTGTTTGCTAAGCAGGTAACTACGCCTCTGAGCTAAACTCCCGGCTCAGGTTCTGTGTTCTGACAGTAGCTATGAAGATTAAAAGACCAGAGGAGGATCACTGGCATGGAAGTACAGAATCTATGCTTCACGCCTGTCCCAGTCCTACCATCTTTACCTAAACACTTTCCCTCACCTACAAACCCTCCACAGCCAATACTGATTGAGATGACCCCAACACAGAAACTTTCCAGCTGTCAATAGCTCCTGTGGAGCCAGGTCTGTTGTGCCATGAATAGGGGTATCCTTGGGGCACTGACACAGCTCAGGCCAGCTTTCTCCTACACAACCATCCTCTCTCCCAGTCTGCCTGCAAACTGAGCAAAGTCCTTGCTGAGGAAAGTTAATTTGTCTGTCTTTATTTTGTAATAGATAGAAGAAAACAGGAAGACAGTAGAAAGGGTCCAAGAGACCAAGAGCAAGGAGAAGAGGGAAGGGGAGGCAAAGCAGAAAGATTTAAGACACGTTTCATGCACATACAGATGCCGATAATGAATGTCAACATTATATGTCATAAACCCAAACTAATAATAACACTAATAATGAAGATGGGGAAAGGGGATTTAGTGATTGAGAGAGAGAGGTGGGTGGGAAGGGAAAGGAGATTTAAAAAGAATCATGATGTGGTGTGTGCATGCACTGACTCTCTAAGGTGAATAAAAACTTCATACACTAATAAAACAATTTTTTTAAATTAATCTGCTATTAAAAAAAATAAAGCTTTATCCAATCAGTTTGAAGTTAGCTACATTAGGGAAGATGATAAACTTTGGCCTCAAAATCAGGACATAGTGAAGCTGCCATAGGCTAATTAAAGGGAAGGTAGGCTCAATTCAGAGAAAATATGAATTTCAGAGTTGTCTAGGAGATGTGGCTTTATGACCTTCAAGGATATAATTGGAAACTATTTCACACAGGGTAACCGTAAGAATGACCTAATGAATTTGATTTTTGACTGCTTTTAGGAATTGTGCACATGCAGACACCCCTGAACCCAGCCACTACACCCTCAGGTACACTCAGCACCAAAGACACTGAGTTTTCACATCTTACAGTTATCCACTTCTGTCCTGTTACATATCCAGTTCTAAGAAACTTATTCTTCCTGGGTGACTAAACACAGTGTATTGTTCTACAACATTTCGTGCATTATCCAATCCATCAGATGTTTCACCAATTGTACCATTTATTTCTGGCATTTAGATAGATGGAGTGAAAAAACAGGAAGATGAAATGCACAGATTGCTCTACATTATCTCATTTGGACTAAATAATCAGCTTTTCCGGAGGCCTATCACTAGCAAGCAAGAAACCCAGGATTCAAGCCCAGATCTCTCTCACACCCATGTCTAAACTCTTCTCTTACATTGGTTCCTGTCATCAAAGAATAACCCCTGGAATCTCCTTTTGTTACAGCAGAGTCAATGGGGAAACACAAAAAGCCTTAGAGAGAAAGGTGTTATTTTAACTGCATTCAGAATGAGCTTCAGGGCCCCATACTTATCCCACCCTAGAATGTGTATTTACAGAGCAAAACAGACATGGAACCAGAAAGAAACCAGAGAAACTTTGCCATAAAGGCTGAAGCAGAAACTTAAATGGAGATGTTTATGAGGCTTTATTCAATTAGACATTTCTGCTACTCCTTCATTCATTCTACAAACCCAGTGTCTACTTTGTGTCAACTGCCCTGCTAGGGGCTGTGGACAGAGGAGGAATAATAAAACAAGGTCTCTGCTACTGAATACAGACATTGTTGATGACAGTCTATGGTCTGATGGCATTCTGTTTAGACCGCCTTAAGTGGGCACCTACTGGGCTCAGGAAAGTGTCATAGACCAGGTGACCATGAATCTGGGTCTCAAAAGACAAGAAGTTAGTGAGACTGAGAGGCAGAAAGGGCATCTTCTAGAAGAGAGCATGAAGAAAAACTAAGGCCTACTTTCAGTCCAAACCACTGCAAATTCTAGAGTACAGAAGTTCAACTGCCACTTCACTGGCTCAGCTGAACACTCTCATAGCACAGTTCTCTGGAGGGGGTGAGCATCCCCGACTGATCTAGACTGCACGGCCCACTGGACAGGCAGCAACTCCTGCTCTCCCAGCCTCGGCCAGAAGCAACTTCTCTACTTTTCTCCCCACTGTCTTCCACACAGGAAATGCTTACTAACAACTGTTCATCACAGTGAATGTTTTCATATGAATTATTTGTATGCTGCTCATAGCAGCCCTGTGCTGTATGAGGTTAGTATTTCTACTTGACAGGTGAATTAACCAAGATGCAGAGGACCTGAGGAACATAACCAAAATTGCACCAAGGTAGTGAATGGCTTTTGGTGCCTAAAAACTTAGAGACAGATTGAGAATTAGAAGACAGATGTTGGTGATGCTATGGAGGAGAGTAAGGAAGAAGAGAGGGAGAAAAGAAGAGAGAGGATCAGCAGGACTAAGAGGATGATGAGGAAGAGAACAGACTGGGGCAGGGGTCTCTCAAAAGGTTTCCAATGGTTTTGAATCTGTTTTCGCCAGGTGCAGACAGGATTTGGAAGGTTGGGCTCTCACTTCTGGGGCTTCCAAACCCATGATGTTCTACCTGACATCGTCACCATGGCTAAAGGAATTGGCAATGGCTTTCCCATGGCAGCTGTTGTGACGACTCAAGGTAGGACCTTGGACAGTTCGTTCCTGCTGCTGGGACTGCAGCATGTGGACTGAAACTGTCATGGGCTGGAGGCAGCCCAGGGGACCACATATGCACTTCCTAAGCAAACGAAGAGGAGCAGTCCGTCTGCCAGACTGTGGGGCAGATAGAGAAAGCCAGCCTTTTCTGTAGCTCTTTTCTGCAAAGAAACCTAATCCTCCCATTCCCCAATTAAATGTTGGGTTCTACCACCCTGACAAAAAGTCAGGGAAAAGGCAGTCAGTTTGGAAAATACACCATAAAATCTACCCCCAATTCATGTTCTTGAAAGAAACACTTGGTCTTACCATTGCAATCAGCTGTGGACTCACCCGTTTATGTCTCACCAACAAAACAACCAAGCTCATTAAATCTCACTTATCCAAAACATTCTATGAAATGATACTAGATCTGTATTTTCCACTTTAGTGAGGATTTTCTGAGTATTATTTTTCAGGAAACATTGTTAGAAATATTTAAATTATTGTATTTGTATTTCCCCCAATACAAGGCATATATCTGAGTTATTAAATAATTGAGTGCTTTGGGCTAGGTTCAGTGTTTTTACTGAATGTTAAAGGCACAAAAATATATTGTGGGAGGTGAAATACAATAATCTTAATATAAGTAATCCTGAAACGGTATGGGATTATGTTGTTAGATCTTCAGTGTGAGATTGTTTTCTTCACACTTCCTTCTTAGTCTCACGAGTAGGATTCAAAAGAAAAGGACTTAGAAGGTGGGCGTGGTGGCTCATGCCTGTAATACCAGCACTTGGGAGGCTGAAGCAGGAGGATCACCATGAGTTCAAGGCCACCCTGGACTACATAGATGATTCAGAGCTAGCCTGACTACAAAGTAAGACCTTGTCTCAAAACAAGCAAAAAAAAAGTTTAGCTAATTTAAGATTCTGTGTAAATTTCTATATATCAAGCTGTATGGTACTTTCTAGTTTACATAGTACATTAAAGGTTTTCTGATCAAACTCCTCATTAAATCAATAAACTTTTTCCTTACTCACTGTATGAGTCAGCTCAGGCTGGCAGAACCAGATGTAGTACCACAGATGCGGGAGTTTAGACAGAGGCATTTGTCTCACAGACTTTAAGGTTGGAGTCTAGGATCAAAACCCAGTGTGGCCAGTTTCTGATGAGTCTTCTTGGTTGCACACAGTCTCCTTCTCATCACAACCTCACAGGGCCTTCTTCATGTGTGCAACCAGGCAGAGAGGCGGAGAGGACTCTGGTGTCTCGTTAATAGAATATCAGACTTATCAGAGTAAGGCTGCACCCTTATAATCTCAGCAACACTGATTACATCTTTAAAGGCATGATCTCCAAATATACATTTAGAGTCAGGCTTCCAGGTATAAATTTTGAGCAGACACAATTCAGCCCCTAACATCCACTATGAGGTGAGTGCAAAATGAATCCAGTATGATGCCATGTGTAACATGAAGGTGTATGGTGGAGGTGTTGGGGGATGTGTCACTTTATACACATTTTATTTCCTCCTAGAAATTGCCAAATCGCTAGCAAAATGTCTGCTTCATTTCAACACCTTTGGAGGGAACCCCATAGCCTGTGCCATCGGATCTGCTGTTCTTGAGGTGCGTTCTAGCTGTCACACATCATATATCTCACAAATTACTCTTTCAAAGTTGCACACATTGTCATAACCCTATCACAGAGTTAAAGTGCAGAGTTAATAAGTAATGCATCAAATAAGTTAGGCTTGTAATAAATATTATCTTCCCCTTTTTAAAGATCTACGTTGAAACACTGGATAAGAAATAATATATAATCACGCTCATATACATGGGAAGCATGAGGATTCCCCCAGCCAGGAGATATCATGGAAAATGTTTTGCTACCTGAGTAACATTTTGTGAATAATTAGTAATTCCCTTCAATCTTTCTAATTTAATTTTGGCCCTGTATTATGTGGGTATCCTTCATTCTTTCTTTAGCTATGCTTTAATAAATTAAATGACTAAAGATGAACCAAGCAATTTGATTACAATGAGGTAATTCAGCTATATGAATAATTGTTCAGCCCTATAAGCCAGATGACAGCCAATTTTTGGTTCAAAATGTCTGCTTTTTAAGTGTCCTTAATAAAATACCATTTGCTGAAGCATGACATATTTCCAGAAGAATGTCCAAAAGGGTAACTATAGTAGTTATTCATAGCAAGGGAAACTCGTTTGGAGTCAAGGATTAGCAAGAATCCTCCTACGAGTCATACTTTTCTGCTTCCTGATCTTTGAACCATGAACATGATTTACCTATTTCAAAATTAATTAAATCTTAAAGTATTTTAAATAGAATTAAATTAAGGTTGCTTTTGTTAATTAAACACAACTTCAAATCATGAGCTGAGATAATGAGGGTAAGAATATCATTTATTTCATTTTGTAGACACTGACAGCTTTGTTGTTAACTGTTGCGATATTTGCATCCAATTTAGAAGGGAGAGAGGGTTTAAATAAACCAACAGGTTTTAAAACATCAAGCTTTACCTGGAATCATACATTTATTAACACCTAATATAAATGCAGTACATTTGGCATGTCTTATCAAGAGTCACAGGTATCTTCTGTGAGTGGAACTTAAGTGAGAATCCTTTTATATCTTTATGTCCTCTGCCTCTCTGTGGGCACTAAAAGAGCTCAGTTTGGCGAGAGGCCAAGCTCCAAGCTAACTTGCTTGAGCTGTAAGAGCCTGTGTCAGGCTGAGGACTACTAAACAAAGGTCACCATCCCCTGGGAAGGAAATATTCTTCCCCTAGAATTTTTGTCATTTTTTAGCTCAGAACCTTAGTCCTCAGCAAAGCCTGAAAATAATTAACTTGTAGGATGTGCACTACTGACTATGCTCAGACATGTATTATACATTTTCCTGAATTCTTACTCACCTCTGAAAGGAGGAGGTATCTAGAGGAAACATCCTTTCTTCTAAGATTTTTTTACCCTTAACAGAAAAATATTTTTGTAGCCATGGTGTATGCACACTATATAGACTTTGTTCTGGTTTCTGTTTGTCTGAGTAAGTCATTTAAAGAGAACGGAAGCTGGACGTGGTGGTATACCCCTATAATTCCAGCACTTTGGGAGGCTAAGTCCATAAGATCACAAGATTGAACCTTGGCCTGGGTTAATTTAGTGAAATCTTGTCTCAAAATAAAAAATAAATAAATATTTAAAAGGACTGGGAATATAGCTCACTGTGTTGTTCCAAGGACCGATCCCATGTGCTGCAAAGAGAAAAAATAGCCATGGACACACATCTCTGTGTTTTTCGGTCAGTCTTAGAACCTTTGTCATAAAAAGTCATTGAGGCTTTCTCTCAACAGGTGATTAAAGAAGAAAAAACACAGGAAAACAGTCAAGAAGTTGGCACCTACATGTTACAGAAGCTTGCTAAACTGCGGGATGAGTTTGACATTGTTGGAGATGTCCGAGGCAAAGGCCTCCTGATAGGGGTTGAAATGGTGCAGGATAAGGTAAGTCCTGAACTGGTGCCCTTGTAGCTGCTGCTCAGAGCCTGTAGGGTTAGTGTAGGGAGTATCAGCTCAAAGCCTGCTTCATTCATTTTCAGCGGGGAGGTATCTGCAGACAGCAAGACTCAGCAAAGCCCTTGGAAGATGAGTAGGGAGTACCCAGTATGAACAAAATGTTAGCAGTTCATGGGGAATTCCAAGAGGTGGGGAGAACCTGAACGTAGAAAAGAGAGAAGATATTACCCTTATCAGACTAGGTAAATAATATGGGCAATGAACGAATATCTGGAAATATATGGAAGGGAAGAAATTATTTAGGAAAGGGCAGGTGGCCCAGAGAGCAAGTGGAAATAAAGAAAAAGGACCAGGATAAAGTCATTTTTAATACACTCACCGTGTTAAAAATGTACTGGGTTTTATATTTGTGTGACTGACCAACTGACTGGTTGGTTGTTTTTGAATGGCCTTCAGTCTCCCAAGTAACCAGAGAAGAAGGTACTCCACTGAGATCTTGAACTAAATATGACAATAGTGAACTAAGCACCATTCCTCCCAAGATCACTGCTTCTCTTTCTCATCTTCTGCCATTCTCCTCACTCACAGCCTCAATATTGCAAAATGCTCTGTGACTCTTATGGGTACTTTGTTTGCTTTATCTCTCGAATTCCTCTGCTGCCTGTCTGTTTCTGTTGCTGCTGGCCCTAGAGTCCATGCCAGTAGGAAGTCAAGGCTTTCCTCCAGGGAAGCAGAATCCTAGTTGGAGGACAGAAAAGAAAGAAAATCTTTTGCACAGAGCAGAGTCCCCAGGCCATCTCCATATGTATAATTTCTGTTCACAGGATCCAGCTTTCCTTGTACTTATTTCTTACTACATATTTGGTCTCACCATACAATTGTGGAAGGGTCTGTTGTTTTAAGATTCAGGCCAGACAATGGGTATAAAACTATCCCATTAATGCCATATGACAAATACAGTACAAAGCTGGATGATTAAATAAGATTCAAAAGCTAAGGGAAGACAACAGAAAAAATAAATAAATAAATGAAATGAAGCCCTGTAGCTCGTTGGCCACCCCATAAGATCTTCAGCTGTGATTCAGTACAAGTCCATTCTAGTCCCCACCCCAGAGGGCCCTTAGAGATATTTACACAACTCAAAGTCAAGAATTCAGAGAAGAAAACGTGATGGAAAATGAGGGGCAAGGTATTCCAAATCCAACTTCTTCATGGTCAAAGTCACGTGAACAAAGGTGTTCATCAGCCAGGGATTTAGCTCAGTAGCTCAAGCGCTTTCTTGGTAAGCACGAGGTTGTGAGTTCTATCCCCTGGTACCAAAAAAACAACAACAACAAAAAGGTATTCATCAGAACTTTGTCATAGCAAACCATCAGAATCTTCCCAAAAGGCCACTAATACAGAAAAAGTTAAATTATATACATCCCTACTACCAGATAACAAAGCAGTATCTGTAGAATGAGCTCTTTTTCTCTTTGTTTTGCTATATTTTGTAAGCATGGGCCTCAATTCGAATCCCAGCTTTTCCAAGTCCCAACTCTACTCAATGTCCCCTCATGATCATTCATTTTCTTTTTTTTATGATGTCATTTATTTATTTATTTATTATTTAAAGAGAAAAAAAACAGGAAAAAAAGGGTAGAAATAATACAGAATTTCAGAAAAATAAACAATAAGCCAGAGTGTCGACTTGTCTTCCCGCATGGAGTGCAACACTCTCCTTTCTGCCTCTGTGTATGGAAGTCCTAGTCTTCTGTAAGGCCCAGTTCCACGTCACACCTCTTCTTAAAAGCTTACATTTGCCTCTCCCCGTGCAGAGGCCCTGCCTTTCAAAAGATTGCTTGTGTACTCACTGTGGAAAGAGCTCTTTTAGGAAGATCTTTCCCACTCTCTTAGTCCTAGCTGCTGTAACAAAGGCCCTTAGATTGCGTATCTTATAAATGACAGAAATGTATTTGTTACAGTTCTGGAAGCCAAAAAGTTCAAGATCAAAGTGCCCATAGATCAGTGTCCAGTGAGGGCCTACTTCCTGATTCCTACAGAACCTTCAGGCTGCTGTAACCCTGCAAGGGAACTCTGGGGGCCTTTTGGAAGGGAACTAATTCCATTCATGAAGCCTCTGAAGGGGATGTAGTGTGGTTAGAGGGTAAAACCATTCAGTCTATGGCATATTCCGTATATTTATTGTCTCTGATTTTTAATGTATAAATACTTTGTTTTCCTAAGTAATTCTTATATTCTTGAGGTCAGAAAGCAAATAGTGCTTTGTTTTTGTGCATTGGTTTCAAGTCCCTGCAAAACTTCAGACTACATTCATATAATTACAGCATCACAGAACTTTACTATGGTGCTGTCTAGCATAACAAGGTAAATATTCCCATATGCTATAAGTAAGACTAAATTGGTATGCATTTAAAATGGGGGTGAAGTAAAATGGGCAAAGCAACATGGAGGACTCTGGTCCAAACCAGTGTTGGGGTGAGGCCAAATTCCACCTGTTCAGACCCCTAAAGTTGAGTGAGGCTCCCACCAAATCATCTTCCCCTCAGGAAACCTGCCCAGTGGCGCAGCCCCTCACCATTTCTGGTCCCTCTAATCATGTTTAACTTCTTTCTAGTTCTCACAGTTCTGCCTCAAATTATTTTAGTCTTTTTTCTCCAACAGAGGAGAACTTCAGGAGCAAGGAGGATCCATGACAGGATTCTGAGGTCCATGAGAGGACCCAATACACATCTCGCCCCCCATCCCCACCCCAGATCCTCCTTTATTTCACGGTCTGAAAGTTGGAATGTTACTTTCCTTATGATAAAGCTTTAAGACACAGGAAAATTGCAAACATCTCTAGGAAGCCCCATCACATTGTGCTGTCAGATACCAATAGCTCACAGAGAATGGAAGATTAGGAAGAGGGTAGGAAGGCTGGTAGGAGGAGGGGAGTGGAAGACAGCCAGGGGAGAGTGTGCGGGAAGCTCACAAGGAATCTCAGTGCACTGGAGAAAACTGTGCTCAACCTGCAGAGGCTGTGTCATGGGCAAGGATCCCGTCAGGCCCAGAGCTGACACTCCCTGAATGGCCTATGGAGGGCAGCGGGAAGACATGGGAGCAACAGCACGGCGGTCTCCTGACAGGAGGGTTGGAGTCCCCCATCCACCTGAGGATAATGTTTAAATATAGTCCTAAGGGCTGTTCCAAATATGTTAATCTGATTTAACATTAGACCCAGATATTTGTACAGTGAAAGGCTTCCAGGCAATTTAGGCATAATCAGACTCCAAACAGCTAAGCTAGTGGGAGGTGCTCATGCTCACAGACTGGAATTGCAGGGCACAGTCCAATTCCTCAACAGGTACTGGCATGCCGGAGCCCTCAAGTTGGGGAGCAGCATCAGAGGCCTAGAGATCTGTCGGAGCCTCTCGCCTCCTGGCCCCGTTGGATGGAGTTTTGGGAGAGACAGAAAATTTCACAAGCAGAGAATATGAGGCCCTATTCCAGCAGTGGCCGGGAAAACCCTGGCTGCTTGTGTAATTGCTGAGTCCTCTGGGCTTTGAAGTGGGTTCTTTACATGGTCAGAACACCCTGAAGAGTTGAGGAGAATTTCAACATAAATAAAACAGACTCCAAATTCATCTAGTGAGAACCGAACTCCCAAGGTAGCCATTAGCAAGGCCAAGATTCCTTGACTATCTGCATGGAACTACATTTTGTCTTCAGAGAGTTGGGAGAAAGTAGCATAAAAACAAATACGTTTAAGAATACCCTCCGTGAAGTTTGTCTCGCAATTCACAGCTTTATTTAATTTCCAGAGTATGGGCTGCTTGAATTTTGGTTTGGCGAGTTTCTTCTCTGTTTGTTGGGAAATAACTCCTCTAACAACCTCAAACCAAACAGAAAACTTTTTAAATACATTCACAGATGAGCTGCCAACCTCTTTCTTGCGAAGAAGTAAATCAAATCCACGAGGACTGCAAAGACATGGGGCTTCTGGTGGGCAGAGGTGGCATTTTTTCTCAGGTAAGAGGAAAAAAAAGATAGGTGTCTTAAATTGGCGCCTTTCTGATGTGCCCCTGTGGGTATCTTTGGGTTCACTGATAGTTCTGGGGAACTCCGTCCACTACCAAGGTTAGTGCTCAGATGTTTAAAAAAAAAAAAAAGATAGTGACGCCTTCTGGGCATTAGAGGGAGCTGTCGTAAAATGATTTGATTTGCTGAGCTCTGTAGAGAAAAGATCATAGAGGCATCTATAAAATACACAGCCAAACCAAAAATTTAAAGTACAATTGATTAAGTAGGTCATAAGAGTCCTGCAATAAAAAAAGTTGTCTCATGTATAAATGAATTCCATTCCTGATAAAGCTCTGTTAGGCAATCATTTTTTTACGTCCAAAGCTTTATATACTTTTGTTCATAATTACACAGTAATTATAAATAAATGTTTAGTACCAAACTGATGACAAACACTATTTTATTGAAAAGGTCTTGCATTTAAAAGAAAAACCTGTAAAACCCAAGGCACTAGGCCATAACCAATACCAGATTTTTATGAAAACAATTTATATTGGAGGAAAAAATGGGATCTCATTTCAAAACACAGCATACTTGAAAAAAAATCTGAAAATGGTATTGCAACTCAAAATCTTTAAAACAGGAAATAAAAGTACATATATTATTAATTTTTTTCATTATTGAAATTCCTTTTTATATCTACAAAAATAAAATCAGGAAATACTGAATACAGCAGGATTCTTTCCCCTTTTTTTCCTTTTAATAACTAATTCCAATAACTTGAATAGAAATTTTCCAATTTTTCTTTTGGTAAAGTTATATTCTTGAATTAAAAAGTTATGAGTGGAATATCAATAAAATAGCTCATCAAGCTCAAAATTCTGTAAATAAAAAGCAATTTTAATGTCATTGTTTCTTGAAATCACTTCTGCATCTGTATAAAATATACTTGATGAAACATACCAACCTGGCTTCTATTTTTGGAAATTATTTAGTCTCTACTGTTCTGGTTTCATTCACGTTAGCTCCGTTTTCACATCAAAACAGAGTGCTGCCTTGTATGGACCCCTCTCCTTTTTTCGGTCACAAGACCCAAGAACAACTTTCCTCCCTAAATTACTCATTTTTGTTTACTTACTGTCATGTCATGTCACTTAAACATTTCTGTAAGGCAGGTTTAAAAGTGTTGAACTTCACATTTTTGGATGACAACGGTCTTTACTAAGTAAGAACAGCCTTTGCTTGGTATACCCAGGTTCTCCCTAAGGCCTGATACTGATATTAATAAAGGAACTTCAGAACAGCAGTACCCTTTATACAGTCAGACGTGGTTTTTTTTGTCGGTACCAGGGATCCAAGTCAGGACTGCCTGCTTACAAGGCAGGCACTTATGCCGCCAAGCTAAATCCCCAATCCCTAGTCGGGCATTCTTAACTCTGTGCTGACTCAGACTTTGAGAACCAGCTCAACCTAAAGTATTGCTGCTGTGGGGAGCAACCTACCTGTCCTGCAGGCTCAGTTGACCCTTGCCAGACTGCGGGTCAAGCGTGGGCGTGGCCTCAAGACCGGTCACTCCTACCACACTTCGCCCTCCTCCTGATCCTCCACCTGGAAAAACCAGCTGGCACTCCACAGCCAGGATCTCGAATTCTCCCCACCTGCCGGAAGGGAGTATGCTGCTCTGTGGATGGGACCTGCCTCTAAATCTTTCCAGCTGCCTGGTACCTCCCCAAGAACAGGCTCCAGGACAAGGGCTGAGGAGTGTGGGTAACTTTTGCACTTCTCCCACGTGGTTTTTGCCCATTGTCATTTTTCCTACCCATTTTTAAAAACATTTTTAAAAAGCATATTATGACACAGTAATCGTACATATGGGGAAGAATGTGATATGTATAGGTATCTACACCTATATAGTGTAATGTCCCAATTAAGGTAAACATATCTGTCTCCTCATTTATCATTTCTTTGTATGAGAACGTTCAAAATCATCTACTTTTTTGAGATACATAGTGCATTACTATTATCTGTAGTTAACTACTGTGAAACAGAACAGCAGAACTTCTAACTCTAATTATTTCCACCAATTTAAACATTCCTCATTCTTCCCAGTTTTCTTCTACACACCTGCCTATCCATCATTTTCATAGATACTGAAAGTTCCAGTTCTTGCCTCACACATCTCAGAGAAAATTGAACCAATCAGGAAAGATCTCTATATAAAGTCTATAATTTTTTAAATTTTTTTTTCATTTTTATCAATACCAGGAATCGAACTCACGACTGCCTGCTTGCAAGGCAGGCGCTTATGCCGCTGAGCTAAATCCCCAGCCCCTTAAATTTTTATTTTAAAGCAAGTAAAACTGAACAGTAAAATGAAATGAAACAAAACTGATGCAATAGTAGAAAATCTACAATCGTTATTATATTACATACTGTTTTCCTTTAAATAGTTTTTCAGCTACTGGCTCCAGGCCTGCAAAGTCAATCAAACAACATAAATGCCAGGTTACTTTCCTACTTCGGTTATTATCATCTCAGCCTGTGTCCTATCCAGTTGTTTATGGGTGGGAGAAGGAGCCAGAGGTAGAAGTGGCTTCCTTTCTGCTTCTGTCCCACCCCAGAGGCTCCACCAGCACACAGGAAGGCTACAGTGTTTCTTTCCTGGTTCTCCCCGCTGACAGGGCCCCTGCTCCCAGTTTTGTTATTTTGCTGGATTCCTGAATTGTCTGTCTCTCTGGGCTTCAATTTTCAGTTCAGATCCTTCCTGTGTCCACCGGTCCCACCATGCTCCTCCTCCTCTTCCTCATGTTGCTTTATTCCAGGATCTGGGCACCAAAACTTGGAGAGGTTCTTTCTCTGCTGCTCACCACCTGCCATTTCCCTGGAAGTCTCTATAAATATCAGGTTATAAATGTCATGAAAACATGAAACAATTGTTCACTTTCTTAGCTATTGTGACTTGGCAAACACTAATTATAAGTGCTGAGCAGCAGAAAATATGCTGGGAACCGAAATTACAATGATAAATAAAATCTGGTCCCTTCCCAGTGCTGATGAAAAGAAAAATAATAAACTAGAAATCATAATACAGTGTAGTAAACTCATTTATAAGCATAAAAAGAGGTGTAATAAGAGAGAGAATGGATGTCAGGCCACCCTCCCCAGCTAGCAGTCCTGACCGGTGATACAGTGAGTTGAAGCACACATGGGGACATAGCAGAGTGCAAGACTCAAACTCAGGCAGTCTGGTTTCTGAATCTGTCCTCTGAAAAGGATGAACCTAGAAGAAGAAGCATGAAGGCAGTAGTCTGAGTGGGGGTGAGGAGAGGATGCTGTTTGAACTTGAACAGTTGTGGTAAGGATGGAGAGGATGCTCAGAGAATAACTTTGGCTGGATATGAAGAGTGAGAGAGAATCAAGGATGGATCTCTTGTGTCTGCTTTGGTTTTGGGTAGACGTGATGAATTCGTCACTGAACGTGCTCCATTTTTGGGGTTTGTGAACATCTGGTCCAGTGTACAGCTTGGGGGGAAGGGGTAAGGCAAAGACCATGACTGGATCAGCGTAGAGGTGGTAAGGTGAGGCCACCTCAGGGGAAGCCCAGCGACGGACTGAGAAGCGCAGTGAGGACACAAACCTGCATAAGAGTAACATTTACTGGGAGAAGGAGAAGGTGTACGGGGTAAACAGAAAAGGGTAGGTAGGTGAGGAGAGCCAGAAGAATGTGAAATTAGAGAACAGAATGGAGAGGTTCCAGTGCCAAGTGCAGCAGAGAAGATCTAGAAGGTAAAGGGCTGAGAAATGCACATCTTGCAAGTCACTTTAGGATACTGGTGTCAGAATGGTGACAGAAAGCTGTACCGCACTATAGGACTATAAGCCATTCTACTACAGAAACCACTCTACAGAGGGCTGTGATGTCTAGCAGGGAAGGACAGAGTGATAAGAGTCAGTGAATATGTACTAAGTCTTTAATGTTTGGATAAAAGCAAGCTAGCAATTGCATGGCAGCTAGAAGGGGCCAGGGGTTCTGTACAGATGCTTATTTGGTGTGGTTTGGATTTGGATTATCAGAATATTAAGCCTGCTTGATAATAGGCTGACAGGACGTTGAAAAGCAGCTGAGGTACAAGAGAATGTAATGATGCTACCTAGCATGAATGTAATGGGAGTATCCAGGGTCAAGCACACAAGTGGACAATTTGTAGCTGAATAGGAAAGAAAGCTGTGAGCCTTTAGGAAAGGATATAAGAATGGAACAAACATTTTCATAGAACTATATTGCCTGGAAGCTTCTCTAATACTATGAGGCGTGATTGTCTATGAAATAGAGTAGGAGTCATAGGAGTAGTTAGACAAGGAAATTGAGAATTATACTAAAGGATTAGAATGAAAAAGGAAACTCTCAAAGGACAAGAAAAATCTTAGTGACCAGCAGAAGTTGAAGACTGAATATTTAGTGAGGTCAATCAGGTTTACTGTGTAATTGATTTTGTTAACACTTCCCAGTCATATAGGATACAGTAAAGCAGTTCAATGATAACTTTAATCGGGGCTGAGACTGGGCCATACGGGTGCAGAGCATTTGTATGAAAATGCATGCAAAATGGGGGGAGGGGTAAGAGAGTAGTTTGGTCAACTCAGTGCCCAAAACTGCATATGAGTCAAGAGAAGAGGTATTAAAAAGTAGCATGAACGAACTACAGATAATGACGGTATAAAGAGGGTTTTCATGAAAAGGGTAGGAGTACTAGGAATAAGAAATTGGATTCTTGTAGGTGAAAAGGGCTCATGGAACAGACCCTGGACATGAATGGCTAAAGAAGAGTATAAACAAAGGATCTGGGAGTTGTGGCCATCAGAAAAGAGAAGCCAGTTGTTTGGTTTTACACATGATCACGGAGCTCACCCGTGTTGGTGCAGAAGTTGAGTGTAGAGAGAAGCCTGGGATCTCAGAGAAGGTCGTAGAAGGACTAGAATAGGAAAAAAAGAAAAAGAAAAAGAGACAGAGCCATATGATGCAAAAATTTGTATGAAGACTGGAAAGTGCATGACCTGGAGACAGTTTGAGAGGAGAGGTGAACTCAATGAGAAAAACGTAAGAAATGTCATGACAACAAGGCTTTCAAATTTTAGTTTAATACATTTCCTCAAAGCCATATTTGATTTGTTGCTCTGTTTTCCTCTGTCTCCTCAGACCTTCCGCATTGCACCCCCAATGTGCATCACTAAACCAGAAGCTGATTTTGCAGTGGAAGTGTTTCGTTCTGCCTTAATCCAACACATGGAGAGAAAAGCTAAGTAAAATAGTTAGAAATGATAAATCACAAGCCTCAAGAACTTCCTACTTATGTGCAAGGATGAGTTCGAGGAATTTCAAAACCACTGACACTTGAATAAAACTTGTAGCTCTCCAGCATAGCTGTACAAGACATAGTTGACTGCCTGCCCACCATTTTTTTTTTTACAGATCCCCCCATTCACTTAGGAATTCTGGGAAAAGATCTCTATCTTTAGCATGCAGACCAAGTCCCAGTCAGTCTGGTGCAATTATGGTAATTTGATTTTTCTTTGCATTAATTGCTTTATGCTTGAGTATGTGGCATTTTTTGGCAAATGACTCCTAAAGGAAAAATCTTTTGATGGAGGTCTCTTCAAGGAAAGACTGCTTTACCCATCTCTTTTTGTTGCACTGAAAACATCACATGTCAAGATGGAATACCCGGAACCACATTAGTTGTCTGGGGAGCATGAATATGTAGTCTGTTTCTTCAAGTTGGAAGATGGATCAACCGGAGTACTTAGTGATATCAGTGGACCCCTGACAACCAATCCTGGAGCCACCTTGCCTCATGGCTACTTGAGATATGATAATAAATTCATTGTATTGCATAACCCTTTTTGATTTATACTTTGCATTACTGTGGCTAAAAGCATCCTATGAAATGATGCATAAAGCACTTTGGGATGATAACAACTTCCCCACCTTGCCTTTCATAAACATTTATCAAAGTCTTCCTTTTTTTTCCATTCCCATCTCCTGACCTGGACCCAACTCCTCAAACTCTTACTCAAGTTCGTATACTTATTATAATAAAAATTCATAAATTTTTCTTCCATGTATGTGTAACACCTGTCTTAGAATTTATAATACTTCCCTTAATTTGATTTTTTACTTAAATGTATTAATAGTATATTGTCTACAATAACAATAATTAGGTATCAGTACCACTTTTCATAAATAGAAGATAACCATAAATAAAACCAAGTGAATACAAGCAACATAACCCATTTCTATTGAAGGTTATTCTCTCTTTGTTCAAAAAGGAGGTCAGAGTGTTTGAGGCATGTTAAAAATACCTGGCAAACTGAGGCCTTCTCCTGAATTCAAATGGAGAACAGAAAGAGAAATATCTTTTTTAATATTTTAAAGAGAATAAAACCAAATGAAATAAAACAGAATAAAGCCAATCAAAACAAAACAATGAAAGGGATACAGGACTTCAAAACAAGATAATAGGAAATCAACAATGGCTACCATAACATAGTTGCCCATACCATCAGACACAATAAAACAAAACAAAATAAAATCAAACAAAACAATGAAAATGATATAGGACTTCAAAACATGATAATTGGAAATGAACAATGGTTATCATAATGCTTCTCATTATCTTCAAAACAGCTATCCATAATATCAGACATAGGCTTATAAAATTAACCAAATAGTACAAAAACTCAGTTGCTCCTTTACTTCAGTTGCTATCTTTTCAGAAGTATCAGGTGTGTGACTTCTAATTTATACTATGTCTCTGTCTCCTGAACTTGTTCAGTGTGGGATGGAGGTCTAAGATTGTATTTTTTCCCTTCATATTGATGTTTTTCCTCTGTTCCTCCCAATCAGCCTGTTGCTGCATCTCAGATGCACTGGCTGCCGGTCCCTCGGCATAGTGAATTGGACCAGGCACCTGGATTCCTTCTATCCCGGGTTCCTGGAGAGGTGTAGAAGCAAGGGGCAGTGGTTCGTCAGAAACGTAACTTTTCTGAGGTAGTACATTTATATTTACAACCTTAGTTTAAGCTGTCATCTTTATTATTTAATCTGCCTCCTAACTCATATCCTCTTCTTCAAGCACCAAAGTTGCTCACATAGGTCATAAATACAACCATGTCTCTTGCCTTCTAAAGTTTTGGCTCCCTATTGCCCATGAAACAAATTCCAAACTCCAACTACTGTGGTGTTCCAGTTGTGTACCCAAACCACCTTATTGTCACTAAGATACCCCTTGGAAGTGAAAAACTAACAGGCCATCTTTGTTAGGTATACACAAGATTCTGTAGTTCTCAGAAAACCAGAAGGAATATGCTGTATGAATTTATTTAACAATTAAATCCCTTGGTACCAAATCTTTATTTTCGGTATCTTTCCACATCATTCACATTGATTCTTTATCTCTATAATTTACTGGAGTGTCCTTCCTCTCTTCTTTGGCAGTGGAAATTATGGGGTCAAACTGGTTGTAATGGTTGATACACTGTGTCAACTTGAGAAGTTTAGAAGTTTAAGCACCTCACCAGGGGCCAGAGTCTTCACTTTGTAAACATCCTGAGCCTGTGGGAGAGAAGGGCATGGAGGTGGTCTGGGTGGGTAGCCTGCTTACCCCATAAGGGAGGAAAAGAGGCTCGCTCCCCACTTTGCTCTTGCTGCTTTTGCTGACTTCTGCCACCTTAAAGTCCTGGTCCTGTGCCATCCCCTCTGTGCCTTGGGGCTACCTTATTATGGACTGAAACCTCTACAAACTGTGAGCTAAAGAAACCTTTCATTCCTTCATTTTGGGCATTGGGTATTTTGTCTCAGCATTTAGAAAAGTAACCAAGACAAGGATTGAATAAGAAAACCAATCAAACTATAACACACAGTCAGCAGCAAAATTCCTAAAGGCAGCCATGTCCCAGGTCTCATTCTTCACTATGAAGTGTGTGTGACTCTGTCCAAGCTCTTGCTGATCAGGATAAGCCCTAACTCTTTCCAAATGGGAAGCGGAGCAGCTGAAGATGAGCAAGCCTCAGAGACACAGGAGCAGGAAAGGCACAGCCTGAGGGCTAAAAGCACGGATGGTGGCTCATTTCTTCACGGGTTTGTAAATGTGAAGGATTCTTCTTCCTTTCCATGTGGCGTCGTGGGCAGGAGTTTAGCACCACCATTTTTTCCCCCTTCCATTTTCTACACTGCCCGCAGGAGGTGGGAGATAAGCCAGCTTACATAAGGCAAGGAGCCCACATTTCTGCCAAGCTCTTTTTTATTTCTTTTTTGTTAAAGTAGTCTAAAATAAAGATAATGAACACTTAGCACAAGTAAACTTTCTTCCACATGAAAAGCATATTGACAGTTAATCATGTGATTAGAATATAGCGTTAAAATGTTTAAAAACACTTGAAACACTAATTCACTGAGGAATGAGGATTTTTTTTAAAAAAAATCACATCAAGCTTGGGTTTTAGCACTAAAAAAAGACTATAAATAGGAAATATAATATTAAATGCATTCCTATCTGTATTGTCAAGATTCCATCTTGTATGTCAATGTAGCTTTTACCTTTCCAGTAAAGTTGTCTGTGTTCCACAGATACTGGCTCCAGAATCGTCTGCAAATGCAAAAATTTGAAGATATCCAGGTCCTTTATGTTAAATGACATTCAACTTACAAATAGCATACAAACATCCTCCTGTACACTTTAAATCATCTCTAGATCACTGACAGTACACTTTAAAAAATAAATGTTTAGTACTGACACAGGAATAATGACAACTAAAAAACTTGAATATATCTAGTCCAGGCTTCAGATTTTCTCATGTGTTTTTGATTCACAGCTGGTTGAATCCATCAGTGAGGAACTAAGAGATACAGAGAACTGATAGCAATTCAAGTTACCCTCAAATGATCTCTCTAAATTATTGGAGGATTTAATTCCTCTTCAACTTTCAAGTCCCACTCCAATCTCACCTTTTCTGCAAGGAAAAGAAGAAGAAGAAGAAGAAAGAGAAGGAGAAGGAGAAGGAGAAGGAGAAGAAGAAGAAGAGGAAGAAGAAGAAGAAAAAGAAGAAGAAGACGACGACAAAGAAGAAGACAAAGAAGAAGAAGAAGGGGAGGAGGAAGAAGAGGAAGAGAAGAAGGAAGAGAAAAACATGGCATTATTACACTGAATTTATTTGGATGAAGTTATAGAAACAAAAACTTAATTATGCCATTCTTTTTAGTGAAGAGAAAGTGGATAAATCTAGATCAAATCAAAGGCAGATACAGGAGGATTTGGTAGCCTGAAGGTGTTGTGAGCGTGATCAGGAATGGAGAACAGGCATATCAGAGACTGAAGAATACAGTGTGGGGACGAAGAGTGGAAAAACAAAGCAGTAACAGAGTAGGTAAGTCCCTGCAGATAGCAACAACTGAAAAAGAAACCAAACTTTAATTAGGTGGAACAACAGGACACAGTGCAGGAGCCTGCACAAGCTCTCCACTTGGTTTGTTCTGCACAAACTAACCTCTCTGACCTGCAGCTTTCTCACATCCAACACGAGAATAGTAAAAGCTCATGGAACCTTGGGGGAATTTGAGCAAGAAAACACATGTGCAGTGCTCCACTACCTCATAGGATGCCATGCCTTTTTTCTCTTCCTCCTTCCCCACCCCTTCCCTCCCTCCCTCCCTCCCTTCCTTCCTTCCTTCCTTCCTTCCTTCCTTCCTTCCTTCCTTCCTTCCTTTCTTCCTTCCTTATTTCTTTTCTCCTTTTCACTGAGAAACCCAAAGCCTAGTGCATGCTGAGCAAATGCCACACGCCCACCTCAGTTCCCTGCCTTTTGTCAGAACTCCCCTCGCTGGCCCTTGGTTCTTGCCATTTGGGCTGCTTGTTCTTATGTGAACATATTTTCTCCTTAACCTTAAGGTACTGGATTTAGGGTTTTTACAAGGGCGCCCTTGTCTTATCTTCATATACTTAGTCCTAAGACAGTATTCCTCACAGAAGAGCAAAATCCTAAAGATACCCTGTGCATTTATCCATAGATGTTAACAGAAGCGAGGAGCTTGTTGCAAATAATGGATGAGCCACCTGATAAGGGCTTTGTGTATTTGTGTGTTTAGAAACACATAGGAACGTATACAGTATAAAATAGAAACATGTGGGCATATATTTACATGTTTACAATTTTAGGTTACTCAGTATAAAATATTAGTTCAGAATGAAAAAGCAGCGGCTCTTAGATAAATTGTGAGGCGGTAAGGACCACAGGAAGAAACCTCTTAGCATTCTCTAAAGGGCAGTCCCACTTTCCTCAGATACCTGACTCACATCTCCACCCTCACTGTCAGTCTTGAATTCACATTTAATTTATCAGAAAAATAATAAGCAGAAAATACAATTTATCAGAAAAATCAAAGAAGGGTTTAGCGAGAGTGTATCACTGTTTAAAACCTTCTACTGCTCCCTAGTACCTGGCCCCCTTGCTTGTTCAGTGGGGCCTCTCTGCCTCTTCCCCACCAGGGCTCCTGTTCTGTGGCTCCCTGTCTGCCACCTCTCTCCTGACTCTGAATGCCCCCTCTTGGCCTGCAACAGAAACCCCTCCCCGCGCTCTACCAGCTGGGCTTCCTTTCCCTTTCACAGAATCTACCTTCATTCTACATACATTTTGGTCCTGCTTGTGTATTTTCCAGGGACTTGCTGAAGAAATGATTTGCTACCAAATTTTCAACTTCAGTATTTTTCAAATTTCTTCATGTCAACCTATAAGCATTCTTATCATTCTTATTTTTTAAAAAATCTTCCCTCCAAATTTGATCCTCTTTCTAAAGTGATGTTCCTGAGGGAAATGTGAAAGGCTCCACTGAGTGACTTTCTCATTCTGCAAAAGTGACCAGTCACCCCCCAAATGCCAAATTCAACAGATAAGCTCCAGCCCTCGTGCTGCTTGGCCCTTTGTAATATTTGAGGCAGTTGATCACAGACTTCTAGAAATTCCTCTCCCTCCTTTTTCACTTGAGGACTCCATACTCATTCATTCTTTTACTTCTTCTCAGGTTCTTCCCATTCTCAGACACTCGTGTGCAGCTTACTTCCCAAGG